TGATGAGCTGTAATATTTCATCGATGAAAAACAAAATTTTTTACCAATGGAGATGTTGGATTTTCAAAAAAAAATTTTCGGGGTCCTTTCCAGAAATTGCAACACTCACTTGTTATTTTTCATTGTTTATTCGCTTATTTATCCATTAACATAATTTTTATATATTTCGCGAATACTTATAAATTACAACTTAATAATATTTGTATGAGATTGACTGAGCAATTATCTTAACAAAATAAATGATGCCTGTTTATAAAAAATTCGATAAATGCTTGCTGAATATTTGTTGAAATTATGTATATTTTGCACTGCGATATTTAAGATCACCTGTTCTGATGTGAACAGTGGTCAAAATTCTTATGACCACCATATTTTCGGTCATAATTATTTTCCATATAATCTGAGTTCCGCGTCATATTTCATCCATAAATAAAAATTGTCTTCAATTTTTGTTTTATAATTAATCTAAAATTTTCTTCCAGTTTCTTCTTAATTTGCTTTTTTGTTAACTTTGCTAAGTGGTGCATAGTCAGAAGCTGAGTGGCAAAATGGTTAGCGACGTTGTATCGGAAATGGTTTGGGTTTGAATTCAAATATTTTCAAATGCACTATACTAAGCGTTAATCCTGAGAGAGAAACAGGAGTTAATCTGTCTTTCAAAAACCCAGGTGATGGTGGCGATTCTATTAGCAAGTGTATCCCTGGCAAAATTTACTTAATCTGATAAGCCAGTGGAGCGAAGCAAACTGGCAGTGGCAAGCACTCCTAGAAAAAAAAATGAATACGTTTGAGTAGCGCTTCCAGAATCAACGGGATTTTAAAAATTTATCAGTGATGAAAAATTCTGTGAGAATCTGGAGCTATGCGATTATAAAAATTAAATCATGGTTTTCTCTGAATAGTCTTGGAAATTCCAAAAATCAATTCGTTTGTAGTAAGACCAGTGAATTGATTTCCTCTTTTCTTTTCTCAAAAATCTTTATTTTTTTGAAACAATCTTCAATGAATTTTTTGCAATGGATCTTTTTCATGATTATTTACTTTATTAATTTTACTACTAAACCAAACATGCTAAAAAGCGACATTCTGGATAGCTAAATAGCTGAAGCAAACAAAAAGCCATGTGCTGTAAAGTAATGCAGCAGCGCAGGTCAAAAAGACATTCGCTAACAAACTATTTTTTATTCTGCAATAGTAATTGACGGACGGTATTTAGGTGTTAATTTTTTAATGAAAATCTTTTTTTTTTTTGCAGCACGAAACCATTTATAAGAAACTGATTAAGCTAAATTATTACCTTTCGTTTTCATACATATAAGGCTACCACATCGGTATATTTCATTTTCATTGTAATTTCACAAAATTTGGTTTAAAGTTTCTAATAATTGGAAGCAAACAGGCATAGGCATATTGCTTTCCTCAACTTTACACTCTAATATTTTATGAATTACACTTTAATAACTAAAGGAGATTGAGGAAATTAGTCGATTGTATTTAAAGCGAATTCAAGAAGTATTTAAAACTTCAGCACATCTCCATATTTTACAAATCTACAAAGGATAATCAAATTCCGGGAAATTGTTTAAAATTTTATTTCGAAGAGATTCTTCTTTTTCTTCTAACAGCTCTCACCCTTACTGGTTAGGCTGGCTGCTCTGGCTAGAGGAATAAGATGTCTCCAAGCTGTTCGGTCCGACGCCATCGCTAGTAATAGTAGTAGAAGCCATTCCTTTTTTCCATCGTCTAAATCCATATATCGCTGGTCTTCCTATATGTTCAAAATCTTTCCTTTAGTCCAGGTTTTGATTGCCTCTCCTCGCTTTTGACGCCAACTATCACAGTGTTTAGCAATAGCGAAATATATGTCAACTTCTTTGGCAGAATGTGCCCTAACCAGCGAAGGCGACGCTCTGTGATAACATTATTTATGCAAGTGATATTTGACTGAAGGTGGATGTAATCATGTGATATCTTATCCGCTCGACAGATCCGTAAAATGTACCTTGAACAAGAGTGGTCAAAGGCAGATAACTTCTTAATATCCACTCCACTCTCATTAGCCATGTTTCGCAAAAATATAGCAAGATCGATCGTATATCGACGCGGATTTTCGTCTTTATGGTGATTTCGCGACGGTTACATAAAGATTTCACCAACTGAAAAAACATTTCTAGCATTTAGGTTATAATTTTATCTTTTACCTAACCATTTGGGATTAGAGTGGATCCAAGGCATTTAAAGTCGGACGCTTCCTCAACCTGTAATGAATTGATAAAAATAGGTATTTTATAAGCATCTTGTAAGAAACATTTTCGTTTTAATTACATTGATTTTGAGTCAAATTCTCGCTGCATTTGTTGCCACATTGTTTAATATTGTTTAACATTTATTTATATCCTTATAACTGTCAACAAAAAGGACTATATCATCAGCGCATTCAATCAGCGTCTGTGATATGCTCTGGATTGATTTGCACACCTCTTGAGTGCCGACAAGCGATGCTCATTATCCAGTCTATCGCATAGTTGCATATTTTGGGAGAAAGGACGGAAACCAGTTCTTATCTTGAAGGATTCTCTCAGTTCCCCATATACACGGACCTGCGCCAGAGTATGCTGATGCCTAAATGCCTTTATGAGCCGAATGACCTTTTATCGAACACCGTCAAATTCCATCACTTTTCAGAGCGCTGTTCTATCAATCGAATCGAACGCAGCTGCAAAATTGATAAAGCAAGTGGCGATGGGTTGCTGGTATTTGAAGCAAAAATATAGCAAGATCGATGTTCCAGCACCCTTCTTAGCGTAAATATTTGATCAGCACAACCGCGTCCCGGTTTGAATCTAGCTTGGTTAGGACGCATTCTGTTATTTCGTGTTGCCATGAGTTTATTTAGAAGTGAAATTTTTCGTTCGCCTTTCCAGAGATGTCCTGACGTTCATTTCACTGAGGTATTCTATGGTTTTCAATAATGCGGTTTGAAATACGCTTATCGTTCCCGGATCTTTTAATTTGAGATAGTTGAAAGATCTTAGGATACTCTGTTTCTTACGACTTGTCAATTTTATACGAATCTTGGTTCGAACCACAACGTGATCCAGAGTTGACCTTTGCGCTTCATGGGAGTTTGTGCCCTAAAAGTTCACTTCACTCACCATTCCATAGAAAAAAATCAATATTTTAATATTTTAAATAGATTTCTTGACATCGATTAAATGTTAAATAAATGGAAGTTTTTTGACTGAAATCATTTTAGTTCTTGTAAAAGCAAAAAAAAATTTTTGAAAATTCCGTTTAATCATCATAAAAAGAAATACTTTTAAAAATATGTTTATCTTTCTATCTTGGTTGACTTCATTGGGTCAAAGCGATAAGATTCCTTCGATAGTTCGGGGAATAGAAATACGGTGGGTCACCAGTGCCACTCGAATTTCATTTTCAATAAAAAATTTGCTTTAAAGGACTGGAATCGAAATTTGTAATTTGGTTAAAGCACTATGCTACCTGACTATAGACAGCGTATATATTGAACAATATCTCGGCTCTGTTGATATGATACTTGGAAGCACAGTTTTTAATTCATTATTTATGAGTTATCCAGTTTAAAGAATTGAATCATCGTGCAGTTAAACTTACGGTTAAACATAAAATTATCAAAATTATCATATCACTTTTTTCATAAACTTTTAATTATTTTTTCTATTTTCTAAATACGTTTTCAACATTTTTATTAATACCTTTACTCTTGAAGCGATTTTTTTTCACTTTGTACTATCTTTCATTTCTAAATTGAAAATATGCGGACATGAATGTGATTGGATTGAATGTGAATGAAAATGGACATTGATGGAACGAAGCCTTTATATCAATTTTTTCAACTGCAATGTTTCACTTGAACTCTGAAAACTTTGTTTATTTGCAAAACAAATATATAATTATCAATACACATTGATAAATTTGTTCTCACGTGTTATCCATAAATTCCTAATTCCATAAATTGCTTAATTTTCCCGTAATTTTAGTTCTTTTTTTGAGATGTTCATTGGTTTAAACGATTTAGTATAACTGCAGTTGAAGTATGCAAGTCAATAATTAAAGCAGAGAAAAAAAGATCATTTATCTTAAAATATTCATTGCAAAAGGATTAGCGAATAAAATTGAAATTTTCAACGACTTTACTTCGGGAATATGGCTTTGGATGAATTTCGAATCATTGAAGTAAGGATAAACTTAGATAATCGTTAAGAGGCTAGAAACTGTCACTGCAAAAAAAATTTACCATCATTGTGATCGATGCAGTCAACTTAAATTTTCTAAATTCTGCGAATCGCAACAGAACTTAGTTTAACAAAGCAATTCTGTTCTGGCTCATATATCATTGGCACTCTATATTCAATGTTCTTGAAATTCTTAATATTGGTGCTGACCTGTACTCTTGTTCTTAGTTAGCGATATTCGTTCTATAAATTTTATTCGCATAGGACATCCAGTTTTATTTATTTATTCGTTTGAAAGGTAAAATATTTCATTTGTATTGACAACTCAATAAAGTTAATCACCTAATCAAAAACAGTCAAAACAATGCAAGTATAGAGGAAAAATAAAATTTATGATAATCATAAAGCGGTAGATTGATGATAAACGAAGAATAATTGTTAGACATCAAATATAATAATTTATTTTTAAAATAGAAATCATAATGATAACCTCATTTTATTCTAGTAAATTATGGTGCGCACGATTGTATTTATTCGATTATCATTTGTTAACTTTTTTTTTCAGCTGGTCACGTCCGAACTTTTGGGATATCAAGTGCAGAAGTATAACACAAACATTTATAACAGCCATTTGATTAGCTGAAAAGTCTGATTTAACCCAGTTTTCATTTAGATACGTTGTGCCAATTTAGATCGGCAATAATCACCAAATTTTTAATGAATAGTCCATTCCTACCATTTGTTCATTTCAGATAAATCATAAATATTTAATGATTTCACATTATGACAGATAAAGAAGAAGGAGGAAATGGGGAACAAGATGATATCTCATTTCTTCGAACGGTATTTCTTAAGACTAATTTTTTGAATGTATTATTTATTTATTTTTCCTTGATTTTTTTGGACACATTGAATCTCTCAAATTCTAACATTTTGGTATATTTTATGCAATACTTCTCTGGAATTGAATTGTTTAACTCCTAAAAAAGATAGTTTTGGCAAAAATATTACGTTAAAACGGTTGCGTCAATAAAAAAATTTTTGATCATCAAGATTTATCTTCAAATCCACCTATTACTATTCTTTTTTTTTAAAGAGTCCTCATCATTACTAATTGAACTCGCTCCGTTGGCTTGTCCCACTGGACAAATATGCCAGGGAGTTCCTTGGCGATAGAAATACAGGTGAGTCGCCAGCATCACCCGGATTTTTATTCCTACAGGGAATCGAACCTCAGCATCGGCGTTCCCAATTGAGAAATAAGGCATTGAGCCATTCTATCCCCATTACTATTCAATAGGATAAGAACAAAATCTTAATCAGAAATTGGTGATTTGATCGTTATAAGATAATAAAGTGAATATGAAAGGTGAAAATATATTGTTGCCAAATTTGACCCAGTACTTAAGCTTTTCATTCAACAAACAACGGACGACATTCTGTATATTTCAAATTATATGAATAATTAGACATAGACACCACCTATTGATCTATGAATGATGAATTCAATTATATACTAATAAAAAGATATCTAAAAAAATCGCAATTTTAGAGAATGTATGAGATTTAGATTTAGATTTATGATTTAGATTTATTTATGTATTAGTATGAGATTTCACCGAAAAATCGCATAAAATTAAGTTAGAAAACATATTGGTCATATTTAGTTTGAATATGTTTCGTTAAGCTACCATCTGTAAGTTGTTGCTCTTCTCTTCCAGCTCTTTGTTTATAATTCTGAAATTTTCATTTGGCATATTAATAGTTTTATTAGAGTTTTGGAAATTGAGTACAATGTCAGAAGTTGTTGAGAAACATTCTTTTTAAAAGCAATTTGATAACCTTGATTCCAAATATCATGTAGAATATGTTTCAAAGATAATAAATTTTTTACTTTTTGATTTACTTGTTGGTGGTACTAAATAGTTGATAATTTTTTTTAAACGAGCATTCACCATTTCTGGTTTGGCTACCATCATTGAATATTTTTAGATGTGCATTTAAAGTTTTTAAATGCTAAAGGAATTAGTAAATTTTGAAAATTCAAAAAATAGAAATTTCTCTTTGTAGGGTGATATAGTTGCGATGACATGCATGGCATCAGCAAATCGTGAAGGTGTTCTTGGATCAGAACGAGTATGTCTCTGTACAGAAGGCTTTGGCAATCGAATGTGTATTCTTGAAAGTGTGTCCGATCGCGTGAGTTCACATATTACTTTAAATATTATGAAGCAGAGGTTTCGAGAGCTTTTGAGACCATCATAATTTACGAATTTATGCGAATAATGCGAATTTAACGGTGTTAATATAAAAATTTTTGTTAATGGGTCTCTAGAGATTTTTGAAATAACGTTTAAAGTCAAATAAATCAATTTAAATAGAAATTTTCTTTTAACAAACTTTTAATAAGTCTTTCTTATAAGTCAAGTTTTCTTTTTTTAATAAAAAGCAAATATATCGAAATATAGCGTTTTATTTAGGATATTCCACCTGATATGTCGATGTGCATGTTGTACATAGATAATGCTTTATCGATGCGCGCTTTACAAGAGATGATGAGTTCGGGTAGTGCAAACGAATTGGTTTGTCTAAAATTTTTGAAAAATTGTCATAAATTTAGCTAATTATACAACGAAGACTATTAATGCCCTTACTTTTTTCGAAACCCATTTAGTATATTTTCAGGAATTTTTCAAAAAATTTACACAGTTCATTGCAAACTCAGAAGTTAAGACTGGTCGGATAAGAAGTCTATTTCAACATTTTTTAAATTGAAGTTGCGATTTTTTTTATTTCAGAAAGGAGCAGGAGGTGGAGGTGGTCACAAAACACTTCTCTACGGCCATGCTGTCCAGCTAAAACACGTACTTAGTGAAATGGTTTGTGGTTAATGCCCTTTTTACAAAGCCTAATATTATGTCCAAATCTTGAATTTTTTACCTTTTCAGTTTTATTTATTTTAAGGCTTAAATATAGGGTTTAGGCTGATTTTCCTTGATTTATATTGAGAAAATCATCTATTTAATCTATTCTTCAAAATCATCTATTCAATCGAATGCCTTTCGTCCATTTGAATGATTTTTCTGTGAGTTTACTCTTTCAAAGCCAATTTTATATGAGATAAAAATCTAATTTTTTGGATTTTTGCAAGAAAGATCAACCTTTCAACTGTTATTAAATTCATTTAATAAATTGTAAATGAGAGAATATTTCCAGTATTTGGCTTGTTTGTCATCATGTTCATCAAACGATAAATTGGCATTCGACGTGGGTGTTCAAGAGAAAAATGATGGTTAGCTACAAAGTTCTTAATTGAAGTTGTTCTCAACCTGTAGTAAATCGTTTTGCTAGTTGATTCTTTCCTTTATTGCGAGAAGTCTAGTCTATGATTGAATATTAACATAAAAATATTCTGAATAATATACATATAAAAGTTAAAAGAAAATAGTTGTATTACAAATCTAAACGACATTTGTTAAATTGTTATATGGAGAGATCCACGACAATTACCTTTTCCCTATCTGTCCAATTTTTTTTTGAAATACAGATGAGGCTTGTTGGTGGATTATACATCCAGCGTCGAAGCAGCGATCAGAGGGTGAGAAGGTGCGGGTCGGAGATGACGTAATACTTGTTTCTGTCGCTACTGAAAGATATTTGGTGAGATTCGATTGACCACATTGACCACATTTTCAAATCTTTTTTTCAGTTTGAAAAATTTTTTTTGCATTTTATAAGTTTTTAAGTTAAGCAAAGCCACTCTAAAGCTTGAACTCTAGCCAGTTTTTTTCATCAAATGTTTTAGTCGAAATTCTTTTCCTAACCATAATTTTAGCATATGGCCCATAACAAAGGATATATGGTAATTGCTTCATTTCACCAAACACTTTGGAATATCACTTCAGTTAGCTCAGGAAGCATTCGAGTACGAAATATAGGTAAAATATTGACACTGCGTAATTTACAAAATTTAGAAAAATTTTTTTTTCTTTCGATATGTTTGCAAAAAAGAGCGAAACACTACAGTTTCAGGCCATCTATTCGGTAGTGACGTTGTGCGATTCTTTCATGGTAATGATGAAGTACTCACAATTCCTGAGAATTGGAGTGAATATCCACAGCACAAGTATATTTTTACTTAATTGCCTCCTCTTTTTTTCTTCTAACAACATTCACCATTTTTGGTTTGGCTCCATTTACTAACAGGATGTCAAAATTTCACTATAGAATCGCTTTGGACTCAAAAAATAAGTTAGTCCCAACCACCATCTGAATTTTATTTTATTTCCGTTAAGAATCAAAATCATGAAAAATCTTGAATCAGAATCAACATACTATTCGGCCATCCTATTCCTTTTATTTCAAATTACCATTAAGTTTTTGGGAATTAGCGATTAATTTTTCAGTTTTATAAGTTTGTAAGAAAATTTATAGAATAGGTCAAATGTAGGTTTTTTATTTATATACGAAGTAAAAAATCTTTCAGCATGGTTATATATGAAGGTGGCTCCGCTGTATCACAAGCACGATCTTTGTGGAGAATAGAATTAATACGAATGAAGTGGCATGGCGCATTAATCAACTGGGAACATGCGTTTAGAGTTCGTCACATTACATCTGGAAGGTTTGTTTCACTTAATTCGTTTTTTCCATGAATCTATTTCAATAATATTAAGCTTCACTCGTTGCTGGTTCATTTTTATTGTTAATTGTTTGTCTCGTTCATTTGCTATTAGTTATAAAGAATCTCCCTGCACTAATTTATTATTTTTGAATTGACCAATTGGCATTTTACAGATATTTGGGTGTGTTGGAAAATGCCGTGCAACTTTATCATAAGGATAAATCAGATTACGATCTGACTGCTTTTATAATGTGTCAAAATAAAGTAATCATCATTAGATTCAAAATGTTAAATGTAATTTAAAGTCCTTGAACTTAAGTTCAATTTAAATTTGTTATTAATATTAAATTTATTATAAAATTTATTAATTAAAAATTTTATCATGTTTTCATGATTTGATTTTAGGATCAGAAGAAGCAAATGCTGGAAGAAAAAGAAGAGGAAGGAATGGGAATTGCAACGATTCGTTACGGCGAAACGGACGCTTTCATACAACATATTAAGACTCAGCTGTGGTTATCATATCAAGTAACACATTTTTTTTATAGACTCGTCAGGCTACTTTTTCGAGGTATGAAATAAATTTTTTCTGGCTTGATTTTTGTCGCTTCTCATAGAATTAGATTTTTTTACTTCAGACATCCGAAGTAACAAAAAAAGGCCTTGGAAAGGTTGAAGAAAAAAAAGCAGTCGCACTCAAAGATGGTCATATGGATGATTGTTTTACATTTTTTATGGCTCTTGAAGAAGAATCGAAATCAGCGCGGGTCATACGAAAGTGTTCATCAGTGCTGAATCGGTTCTTAAAGTAAGCTTTAGCTATATTCGTATAGTACCTATATTGTTCTCTAAATTCTAATTTTCCATTTATTTTCTTCATTTCGCTCCATATTTCCTAATAATGCTAAAAATTCTGGTTCAGCTCTTGATTATTAGGAAGCAGTTGTTCTTCCAGAGAGGTAATGAAGACATCCTCCACCGATTTTTTTATAAAATATACTCTTCCGTTGGAAATTGTTGCGTTTATTTGTTGAAGATGAAGAGATTAAGAAAATAAACTTGTTACAGATTTAGATTTGAAGTTTTAGTTGCAAGAAAATCATGGCACAAGTGTGAGTTGAGTTAAAACTTTATCCAGGAGGAAACGAACAAATATGACTGAAAGTGAAATTAGCGAAATGTGTTAATGAAATTTTTGGAAAGAATTTGCGAAACACTTCAATTATTACAGTTGCAGTTAATTGATAGTTGATTAAGTCTTTGATAACATCGTTGATTGAATCATAGAACATGCAACGCAAATGGTGATTTTTTTCAGAGGCATCGAAGCTTTGCAACGAGAAGGTAAACAGTCAAATGACTGGATCAGAGTGGATTTGAAAGAAGTTCTGAAACTGATGGAAGATCTCATTAAATATTTTGCACAACCTGACGAAGCTGATGGTATTGCGGAAAAAATCGTTAAAACGGAACGATTATTTTATTTTTTATTTAAGATTATTTAGAAAGTTTTACTGTTTGCAGATTTTGAAGAAAAACAGAATCGTCTTCGTGCATTAAGAAGTCGTCAGGATTTGTTCCAAGAGGAGGGAGTCTTAAACATGATTCTTGACACAATAGATAAATTCTCCGAGATGGAAGCTTTGCCTGATTTTGCTGGTTTAATTGGTGAAGAAACTCAGGTGATTCGATTTATTACTTATTAATCTACTATATTCAAATTAGAATTTCTTAGTTCCATCAAAAGTTATTTTATAAAGTTGTCTGTTTTATTGTAACACTGAGTTGTTTGCCTCATAAAAACTTGAACTACATATTACATATTAAATTCTTTGAAGATGATGTGGGAAGAGATAGCGACTTATCTTTATCTTCTAGTTGCTGCTATGATTAAAGGTAATCACTATAATTGTGCGCAGTTTGCCGCTGCGCAAAGGCTTGATTGGCTTTTCGGAAGACTTGCAAATCCACAATCTGCTGAAGGTTTGCTGTAAATTTTTTAACGCACATATTGTGTATTAAAATTTTAAAATACATCGAAAACAACGAAACAACGAAAAGTACACATTATTCCGTAAGCAAAGATCAGATCTAATAAAGAAGCTGTAGAAATGACAATAATATAAATAGAATAAAATCGTGTGTTTTGCTGTCTACCAAATTATTATTTTTGGAATTTATTTTTTAAGGTATTCTTGATGTTTTGTATTGTGTGCTAACTGAATCACCAGAAGCATTAAATATGATTAACGAAGATCATATTAAATCAGTAATATCACTGCTGGAGAAAGTTGGAAGAGATCCTAAGGTATCAGTTTTTTAGAAATGTTTAATACAGCTACATCAGATTTTTTTAAAGAAACATATTTGGAACAAAATTTAGGTCCTTGATGTACTTTCTTCTCTATGTGAAGGTAATGGAATGGCAGTAAGAAGCAGTCAGAATACAATCACTAAACATTTACTTCCTGGAAAAGACTTGCTTTTGCAAACGAAAATGATGGACCATGTGAGCAGGTGACTATGCTAACTCTGATTCTAAGGATAAAAAAATAAATTACAAGTTATTAAATTAATTCCGGGAATGAATGAAGTTAGTGATATTTCTGGAAATATTATATAGCGCTTTGTAGAAAATGAATCTGACTATCCCTTTATAATCGTAGGTTTTGAGTTGCTGAAGAATCCCATAGAATTATTGCTATAAAATTCGATTTTAGCATGTCTCCTAATGTACTCGTTGCTGTACAAGAAGGCAGTTCGCAATTTCGTCGCTGGTATTATGAGGCGGAAGTGGAACATATTGAAGAAATGACTAAGCTAAAACCTTATTTAAGAATTGGATGGGCCAATAGTCTCGGATACAGGCCATTTCCAGGATCGGGTGATGGGTGAGTGCTTCCATTTAGCAAACTTGAATATTTGCCCTCTAATTCACTAATTACTTTTTTTACGATGAGCCTAATTATGCCTATCAAATCAACAACTAGTTCAATAATTGAATTCACGTCTTAATTATCACAAATTTTATATTATTTAGATTAGGACAAAAATAAGGTTGAAATTCGTCGTGGAACTAAGAGAATCAATTAAAATAATCCAGTGAACAGATCAATGATTTACAACTTTATTGCTTCAAGAATAGTTAGGAGATATAGTCTTGTTAATATCTATGTTAGACTAGCCAACTCGGAATGCATTCCATTAGCAAATATTATGCCCTATTTATAAATTGGAATCACAATAATATTTCAATAATTTTTTATTAAAAAAATTTTTTTTTACTTAGCCTCAAATTGCTTTATATTTAGATGGGGTTGTAATGGTGTGGGGGACGATTTTTATTCCTATGGATTCGACGGCAGTTGCATTTATTGTGGTCAGTTTATTTTATTTTAACACAAACTACATAGTTTACGAAGGAGATGAAGTAATAGCGTTCGGTGAGCATCGTTTACTGGCGATTTATTAACCACAAAAATCCATAGGATCCATAATGGATAAAATGCTTCATGTTTGAAAGGATTTGTTAATCAAATTGTGCACTTTATAATTGAAGCAAATACCATTTAAGAAAATATTTAATTTCAAGAGGCTTCAAAAGAAATTCTGGAAATTTTTAAATTCAACAAATCTCTAATATTGCTTTAAAGGAGCATTCTTATTAATAAAAAAGAGAGTTTATCTACTTCAAAAAAATTAAGATTTCAGCTGGTAAAGGAAAACAAGTCGGCAACCGAAAATTGCAGAAAGGTGATATTGTCGGATGCATTTTAGACCTCACTATACCGGAGATAAGATTCACTCTCAATGGCCAACAAATCAGTGCATTCTATAAAAATTTTAACATTGATGGATATTTCTTTCCAGTTATGTCATTATCGGCTAAGGTCAGGTCAGTGCTAAAATTTTTAAAAGCTTATCTCACTAAAGATTTACAATTACCAAACATCTATGTTTTAAGCGTTCTTTTCTTTTCTAAAATCTTTTTTACCATATTTTTATCATATTTCCATATTACCATATATTTAGTAAGACAAGCTCGCAACAATTTTTTATTTCTTCAATAATTTTTTTAAACAATTGTAAGTACAAAATCCTTTCATGCTAATGCATGGCACAAAAAAACTGAAAATTGAAAAAAATTGATAACAAAATATTTTTGTCAAAATACTTGCTTGATGTGAATAAATTGAAAAATAAAATCGAAACAATGCAAGAAATTAAACGATATTATCCTAGGACATATTTTGGGAACGATGAAAAATATCAACATAACTAATTAGCCATAATAAAACAAAAAGAAAAAAAGACTGTTCTTTTCTGGAAAAAAGTCAACAAAAGTCGCTAATTTTTGTAGTTGTCGATTTATTTTTGGCAGTTGCCATGGACTTTTACGATTTGGGCCACCATCTGGATTTAGTCCTCTTGCCGAAGCGATCAGTGAACAACTCGAGATCGCTGAATATTTTTCATTTGGTAAACTGGCCAAAAATATATTTTATGGACCTAGTACAATGCATTCAAATGCCAAACCTTTCGTTCCAACTCCTATCGATATTTCTTCATCGATACTGCCGCATTTTGCAATGGAGTTTCATGAAAAACTAGCTGAAAATCTTCATGAACTCTGGGCAATGCGAAAAATCGAATTAGGTTGGACTTTTGGAGAGGTAAGGCACTTTATAATCACCTAGGTTTAATTGTGCTGCTAAAGTGACAAAGTGCAATACAAATAGATTCAAAATTTCAGGTTAGAGATGAATTACAAAGACATCATCCTTGTTTGACATCGTTTGATAAACTACCAGTGACAGAAAAGAATTACAACATCAATTTGGCGATTGATACAATGAAGTTAATATTTTAGCTACGCATAAAGCATATTTATTTACCCATTTGTTTTATATCGGAAGAATCGCAAGAATAGTTTTAAACAGTAAATCCTAAAAAAAATCGAACAAATTTCAGGACAATTGATGCATTGGGCTATAATATGGTAGTGGACAAACCACCTACACGTTTGCGGCCCATTCGACTGCCACAAAAGTTTTTAGTTTTTTGATTTTCATTCAAATATTTCATACTGATTAAAGATTTTGTTTTCAGTTATCAGCAGTCGAATGGATTTAAGCCACAACCATTGGATTCACATGAAATAAGTCTTGATGAGAATATAACTCCACTGATCGATGCATTGGCAAAGAATACGCATAATGTATGGGCCAAAGAAAAAATTCATAGGGGATGGACATTTGGACTGAATGAAGTAAATAGTTTGCCGCTTATGATATATTTCAGATTAGTCTGAAATATGAATAATTCCTCTTCAAACTCCAAAGCATTTTCACAGACTGCCATATTATAATAAAGTGATGGATTTACCTCACTTTGGCCTTTTAATGAGCTTGATCTTAATCAGTAGATATATTTATATATATCCTCGTTATGTCCTATTTCTACAACAATTTTTTGATGGCTGTAGTTTGTGGATTCAAATCAAAAGCGTAGTCCACATCTCGTTCCATATGATTTGGTGGATCAGAGAATCAAGGATGCGAACAAAGAATCTGCTGCTGAGTTCATCAAAGCTTTACAGCTATTTGGAATATTTCTAGAGCCTCCTGTTCATGAACATGATGAAGGTTATGCTATCTTTTTATATTTAAACTTTCGCGGCCTCCTAATCTTTGGCATTTTACTAATTGTTGTTCTTAAATATTTGGTCATAAATGAAATAATGAATGATTTATAGGTGCTGAAAAAGAATTATTGGCATCGCGTACGCCATCACTGATATATCGAGCAGAGGCAACGTATGCGGTAACGAGTGGAAAATGGTATTTCGAGTTCGAAGTCCTGACTTCGGGGTTTATGAAAGTTGGATGGATCGATATTGGAGCCCCACCAGATACAGATCTCGGACTCGATGAACGTTCATACGGTTTTGATGGGTATTTAAAAATATTGGTTTATTAATGATTTTTTTTTACATTAATCCATCTTCTTCTAACTGCTCTCACATTAATTGTTATGTTCGCTCCTTTAGCTAGATAAGACGATTCAAAGATAAGACGTCTCCAATAAGTCCATATATTGCTGATCCTCCTTTGCCTTCAAAATCTTTCCTGACTGTATCAGTCCAGGTCATGATTGGTCCTCCTCGCTTTTGAAGCCATCCACCACAGGGTTCGGCAAGTAGCAAAATATGCCTTAATTCCTGTGGTGGACGACGGAGAATGTGCCCTAACCATCGAAGGTGACGATCTGTGAATTATTAATACAGGTGGTGTTTGAGCGAAGATGGATACAATCTACGAATTTATTCGCCGGACGGATCCGTAAAATATATCTTAGGCATGAGTGGTCAAAAGCTGATGGCTTCTTAATATCCTCCACTATCATTGGCCATGTTTGGCAGCCATATAGCAAGATCGAGCGAACAGAGCAAATATAGAGCAAATATGGACATGAATTTGGCCATTTGGGATTAGAGTGGATTCAAGATATTTGAAGTCGGCCACTTCCTTAATCAGCAGTGAAAATATAATAAATATAATATATAAATATAAAATAAAATACCTATTGATAAAAATAGGTATTTTATAAGCATCTTGTATATAAGACGAAAAAGTTTCGTTTTATTTATACTGATTTTTAGTCCAATTCTCGCTGCAGCTGTTGACACATTGTTTAACATCATTTGATTTCATTATAACTGTCAGCAAAAAGAACTACATCATATTCAAGGTCTGTAATACTATGCTGTGGACTGATTTGCACACCTTTTGAGTGCCAACAAGAAATGCCCATTATCCAGTTTATTCCATAAGTGAATATTGTGGGGGAAAGGAGCCCTGACGGACGGACACCAGTTTTTATTTCGGATCACGGCCGTTATAGTAGCTCTACGAAAAAGGCGAAATACTTTCCTATTATCACCTATCCGAGCCACCGTCTCCATTCTTGAGGCCATATCGCTCCAATAGCGAATTCTGTCCCGCGTGCTGCTATCGTTTAATTCTTTGAAACATCCAATAGACAGGATTTCCACGATTTGGGCGTTGGCAGTTTTTTTAAACAGTTGAACAGTTGCTTCCGACATCCAACTAGCGCCTTTCCTACTAGTATACTCTGTGGGGATGGCTGATTTTTGTAGGCATGTCTTTAGTTGGACCAGTATTCATTCGTAGAGATGTCATTGATGTTCATTTCACTGAGGTTTTGCCACAATACGGTTTGAAATGCACTTATTATTCTCTGATCTTTTAATTTGAGAGATTGAAAGATCTCGGGATACTCTGTTTCTTACGACTTGCCAATTTTATATGAATCTTGGCTCAAACCATAACATGATCTGCTCCATGGCGGTTACCGGTTTCAGCATAACAACGATTACAACAACGATTATCAAGTACAGAACTCTTCAGCGATAACTGACTAATATATGGTCAATCTGATTGGAATATTGGAGAGTTCCACGTAACTAAATGTCTTCTTCGATACTGGAAGCATGTATGTAACAAAGCTCAAGAGCTCATTCTGTTTGGCAAAACGAAGAAAACATATTTGCCGAGTACTGCATCCTGATCTACGCACACATTCCAGTCTTCTTCGATTATGACCATGTAACCTCTTGGTAGAGATTTTGTTAATAGTTGAAGCTCCTTATCCTTATCGCAGTCATCTAAGCATATACACTGATTACCGAAATAGAACTTTCTCTAGAAAATAGGCCATTTACTGCTTCTATTCAATTAGAGCGGATCGAGCCTTTTCAGACTTGACAATTTCGCCTCGAATTATCCGAAACATCACTGTGATATAGCCAATATCTTTGCTCGGAACCAGGTTTAATAATTACTGGGGAACCGACATCAGGAAGACGGACCTTCGACAAACAAGCCACATCCACGCTGTATTTAGAAGAGGTGTGGATAGTGATCGCTTGGCTTGCAACACCTATAAGCGTTCTGATGTTCCGACCAGCTATATCCAGCACCTCACCGCGCTTGCAACGTATTTGCGGATAGGTTCTCGCTCCTTTAACGGGTAAATAAAGAAGGAATATATTCCTGGCAAAGGCAATTAAATTTAAAAAAAAGGAAATTTAAAGACAATTTTTAAAAAAATTAAAATTAGAAAAAAAAACTCTGATTCGGAGAAGATTACATAATAATAGTAAATAATAAATAAGATTATAAAATAAGAATACAGTAATATAATAAAATGATAAAATATCTTCTAAGTTCTTCTATCTTCTAAGTTGCTGATTAATGAGCAGAGCACCTTTTCAGCACAACCGCTCATACAGCAAACATATTTTTACATTAATGTCGTTTTTTGAATAATTTTACATTAGGCAATTTTTTTTTGCAGTTATTTATCGAGAAAGTGGCATCAAGGAGCTGAAACCTATGGGCGAGAATGGAAAGTTGGCGACATTGTTGGTAGTTTTTTGGACCTCAACGATCGAACTATTGCTTTCTCGTTAAATGGCGAACTATTACTTGTTAATGTTTTTATTTTTTTTCATACATTATTCCTTTTTTATTTATTACTGTATATATCATGCAATATCTAAATCATTTCTTTAAAATTTCCCTATATTTATCCATTTTTCTGACCTGATAGAAGAAATGAACAAAAAAGGAAACATTTCAAAGCATTGATGATCAGCTGTTTAAGCAGTATAATTTAACAATAGGAATGGAAAAATAAATAATAACCGACTTTTCAAATCAACTGGAACATATGTTAACGGACAACAACAAGATTGTCTACAAAATGACTGTGGAAAAAAACGTTAGAAGACATTATGTATATTTTAATAGAAATTTTATTTATTTATTAATTGCAAATCGATATAGGATCCATCTGGTTCGGAAGTAGCATTTGATAATGTAATATCTGGTGATGGATTTGTGCCCGCTATGACGTTAGGAGCTGGTCAAAAAGCTCGTTTAAATTTCGGACAAGATTCCAATACTCTCAAATATTTCACAACTTGTGGTTTGCAAGAGGGATATGAACCATTTTGCGTGTATGCTTCTTTTTTTATATTTTTTTCTTTTCAAATTATTTTCTGTTTCATATGAAATATTCTCCGACGAAAATGAAAATGAAGTTATTCTGCAGCAATATGTATCGGCAAATGCCAATGTGGTACGCGAAAAGCTTGCCACTTTTCACAGATATCGATGCAGGTTCAACAGTTGAAGTTTATCGCATTCCTGCTACTGGGAACAGTCCACCGTGCCTGAAAATATCACAGAAGGTGTTTTTTCTATTACTAAACTAATATTCTTCATTCTACTTCGGACTCTGACAGGAATGTAGATTTATTGAAAACAGCCCTCCTTTATATTGCCAATTTGTCGTTTAAATTTAAACAATTCAAATATATTTTTTTAGAACCATCTTTCATAAATTAAATTTAAGATTGATACGAGTGACACTTCATCAATGGAAAAAGCGAAGATGGAATATATCCGTTTGTCGCTTCCTGTTAGATGTCATAAAACATTTTCCAAAGTTAGGTGTGTAAGTGGTCTGATTTAAGTGATATTTGGAATATCTAAATAGAATAAATACCTCAACTTGATCGAAGCACCTCACTTCATTTATAGGAACAAAGAGGCAATAATGCAAGCGATACGTGATATTCAGGAGCGTATGGCACATGAAAAGATAGGAATGCCTTCTATTAGACCAATTACGATTCCAAAAGAGTTTGAGGATTCCAGATATGCTCAAACTAAAGTCGGTTTAAAAATATTTATGAAAATACTATCATTATAGTGAAATATGTGTTTCGTGATTAAAACCCTCTTCTAGTCTTTTTTGCAAACTGATATAAATAGTTGCAGAAAACACATGGAAAATCTCTTTTGAATACCTTCAAACGCAGCACAGAAGATGAGGATGCTGAATCATCTCGCTCAAAACCAATATCTTTGGACGAGACTCATGATCTTGTTGAACGTCCTGGCTTGGGGCAAGTTTTATTTTCTTAAAAACGATTACAACGATCCTTGAAGAATTTATAATCGTCACGATTTTTGAACCCAATTTTCCAGCTTTTAAACTGAATGATTTATAATTCCTCAATCTTGCCTTATTCAGTTTTCAGGACTGGCAGTTTGCACGACTTTGAAGATCATCATTTAAAAGGAAAAGAACCAAAGAAAAAAGGTGGCTTGATGGCACGTTTTAAGGAAGGTCATAAGAAAAAGTAATTTATTACTTTTTACATGATTTGACTAAAATGAAAGCATATTTATTGGAGAAAGAATGTATATCATGGATAAATCTTCAGTATCTTTAAAACCATTCTTATCTTCATCGGTTGTATTATAGAGAAATCGAAAAGAAAAGTAGCGAACCTAGCGGCATTGCACGAAGCACTTCAAGTTTTGATGGAACGTCCGATGAAGCACTTAATGTAGCCACAACTCCACTGAAAGACGTACTTCAAGGCAATGCTTGCTAAATAATATCTATTCTTCATCTAAACGATTATCAGGCTAATTTTCATAATAATCAAATAACTTGCACTTGGTTCAGATATGCCAGTATCAGGGCCTGGAAGATCATTCTCAATCAAAAGGATTACTGGAAAAAAAAAGAAACAACCCGTAGTGTTAATGGAAAACAGACGTCCTTCCATAGTTGCTCTTGAATTATCAAATGCGATCCACAGTGATATTCCAGACGATGATGTTGTTCCTTTATCGGAACTTGCTGATAAGGCACTAAACCTTTCGAGTTGTTTCGCATGGTTTTATGGTTCCAAAGATATAAAAATATGATATGTTCTTTTCAGATTGATGAGTTTTATTATGCTATAAGAATATTCCCTGGTCAGGACCCCGCTAATGTTTGGGTTGGTTGGGTAACACCAAAATTTCACTACTATTCAGCTAGTTTTAATCTGGGCGAAAGTGTTCGGCGATGCAAGTTTCAATATGCAGCTAATGACGATCCGGCTGATGACAGGTATGTGTAGCAAGAATTATTTGAAGAGGAATTTTTATGCTTTTTTTTTAGATTTTTTCATCATTAAATGATGAAGAATTGAAGTCCATGACCATGAACCGATGAATTTTTCAAGCAAATTTTTCATAGAGTAATTTCATAATTTCATTGAGTAGTTTCATAATTTTATAATTCGTCAAAACATTTGGTTATATCAATTTTTGTAGGGATGATTATTTATAATTTTCCAGCTTAGAATATCGTAATTGTTATGTGATGAATGCAGCTGAACTATTGCAAGCTGTGCCTGATGCAGCTAATACGAAAGTCACTGGTCTCCTAATTGGTTGCATCATAGACACCTCCATTGGCGAATTATCATTCCTTGCTGCTGGTCAGGATACTGGTATACGTTTCCAGGTACTTCTTTTAAAGTTTGTTCTAGCTCATCATATGAGATGTTTTGTAAGTCTTCTTTTAGCTGGACCCTGGAGCTATGCTTTATCCTGCTGCATTTGTTGCACCAACAACTACAGAAATCTTGCAATTTGAGCTCGGAAGAATCAAGGTATTTTCATTGTTTCTTGGCTGTGAATAAGGCCTCAGTTCAAATTTTTGATTTGTTTATGATCTTACACAATTTAGTATACATTCCCATTGTCATCTGCAATGTTCAAATCATCACAGAAAAGTTTAATACCATTTTGTCCACCTCGTTTAACCGTTGAAAAGATACAGCCTGTTCACTGGGCTCGTGTACCAAATGAATGCCTTCGAACAACTGCTTTAAAATTATCGGATATTCGAGGTGATTTTAGTTATTTTGTAGTGTAAATTTTAAAATGCGCTATTTTTAGGCATTTATTAAAATTTTTGAGTGCTTTTTTTTCATTCAATTTTTGAATTCTTTTTGGCCATCGAAAATTATTAGTCTTTCATCTTTTAGCGTTCCACTAGCAATTTCTTATAAATTTAATGAGCTAATCACGGAAAGTAAATTTTACTGAAAGCCGCTGATCTTTTTGGCATGCGGGACATTGGCCCAATGGGGTGACTTAAAGGCCTCCATTCATTTTTTGAGACTAATCTAAGACTTCTTAAGAACAATGAAAAAAGTAAAGCAGAATAAAGGTGCAGAATTAAGGATATTTTTCATTTTTGGTAATTCGTTTCTCGATTTATTCGAAATCGACTCATTTCTATGTTGTCCTGTTAAACCCCGTATTTTTCTTCTAGGTTGGTCAATACTGTGTGATGATCCGTTACAAATGATGACGATCTATGTGCCCGAAAAAGATATGAGTTATGATATCCTTGAATTGATCGAACATAATGATTGTCTTACTTTTCATCGGCAAACTCTAAATCTTTATTGCAAGCTTGCTTCATTTGGTAATCAAAAAGTCGCGCATATATTATGTTCTCACGTTGATGAGGACCAGATTATGTATGCAATCAAAAGTCATTGTAAGTCAATTAGTATTTCTACAAAATGAGAAATGATTATGGTGGTAAGGAATATGTTTGATAAAATATGAAATTATAAAATTTTACCTTCTTGCTTATGTTGGTAAGGAAAAATATATTTTCCTTTTTTCGCCTTATTTTTATTAGTTTTATTTAAAATTTTTGGTTCAGTACTGCTATCTCCAGTCAGAAAAAATTTCTTTTAAGACTTATCCGGGCCTATGCGTCAAGGATTTCACGATTTTCTGATCGCTGTCCACCTCAAAACTCATGTGGATGCTTGTATGGCAGGGGCGCATGAATATGTTGTTCCATTAATAAAAGAATTGGAGATGAAAAACGTTTTTAGTTCTGAAGCAGAAGATCGTTTCCCTCTAATTTATGGACGTTGTGTCTCAATTCGCCCAACGATGGCTTCTTGTGTAGTCCGTACTGAGTACGTATGGTTCTAATACTATACGCTAAATTTTCATATCCTTTTTATCTCAATCTTTTTCTAAAATTTCATGACAGCTTTACATTTTAGTTTCAAAAATGATACTGATACGAAACTGCTTGCTCCTACTTTTAATTTCGAAGCACTCAAATCCCATGTGACGTCTTCGTTGATTAGCGCAACAGAGCATGCTGTTATGAACTGTAGGGACTTAATCGGCGGATGTAATAGCAGTCATTTCGAGTTTGTTATTTTCTTTATTTTCTCTTAGTGTAGTGTTTAAGTTGAAGTGTTTAAACGTAAACTATTTTTTAACTGATAAGTCGTGTTTCCACGACATATTATTTTATGATTTTTTTTCAGACCTCTGTTCAAATTATTCAATTCGCTCCTTGTTATTAATCTGATCGATGATGAGGATCTAAAGGATGTGCTAAAACTGATTCATCCATCAGCTTTTGACGAAACTTATGCTCCTGGCAATTATTTGTTAAAAATATTTGCTTCTCTTCCTTGAGCTAATTCTCTTATAAATTCATTGATTACTTTTCGTAAAATTTTATTTATGAAGCTTTTTAGGATCAGCGCGAAAAGGATTAACAGAAATCTGGCTGGATGAAAGCGTCAAGATTCAATTTGTTGAAATTTTAGATAACATTTGTGATATTCAGTTGCGTCATCGAGTTGAGTCTCTTATTGCATTTGCAGTTGGCTTTGTTAGCGATTTACAACAAGATCAGTGCAAAAGGTATTTCTGATGTAATTAAGCTTAAATCGAATATAATAGCACATTTTTCCCGTTGTTCTTGTTGATTTTTCTTCTGTGATCTGTATCATGCACAATAACAGTGAATTTTGCTGAATTTTAAACTAGCTTTCTCTGAGTTAAAAATTTACAGATATATGGAAATAAAGCAGACAGATATGCCACCAGCTGAGGCTGCTAAACGCACCAAAGAATTTCGATGTCCTCCTAAAGAACAAGTTCATTCAAATTGAAAATCTATAAAAAATGACTGCTTTTTCATCTTACATTTTTCTTTTTTTTGCTTATAGTTATTAAAGTCATGTTCATGTTTTCAGATGTTTCGACTTATAAAATGTAAGCATTCAGACAGCGGTGCAGGAATAATGCTCGATGACGAGGTAGAGTATGATCAATGTCCCATGGATGAATCGCTTCAAGAACAATTGAGGTTTCAATGATTTATTTCACTGATATATATGAGCTGACAAAATAGAGATGGATTGAAAAGTCAGTTCTATAAAGTGCTGTAACTTTATGTTGTGCAAGAGAAAATTTAGGATAGAAAGTTTAGGTTCTTTCAAATAGTCTACTCGTGTTTCCTTTTCTTTATTCTTGAATACGGATATTGATTTATTTAATATTACACTTTATAAATATAGAGCATCCAGGCAACTTACCTCCATCCTCAAGCTATTCTCTTGCAAAAGGGCTTTATCCTAAAAGTCAGTGGGGTGAACTCAACCAGAATAAGAATACTATTTTAGAAAAAATAACATGTGGTTAGATTATTTGTACTGTATATTTTTTATGTATACATATTAAAAAAAAAATTTACGTATTTTGTAATAATGCTAGATATGCTTTCATGAAATATGTATGGAATTATCGCAGTAAATAAAGTTGGTGCTCTTAGTGAACATTGCAGTGGAGTAGATGTTCGCGGTATTTTAGAATTTACTTGCAAGGGTTTGGCTTGGCGTATCGTTCTGAGCATCAGTTCGGTTTCTGTTGCCGACGGGTAAAATTGTAGCTGAAAAATCGATTAGTTGTGGCAACTCATTTCCTGCATTTCTTATCAAGTCGCTTTATTTAAAATTTCTAATCGTGCCAGAAATGATAACCATTACTTATTGAGTTATTGAGTTGCAGAGAATTCTGTGCATTGTTGGTAAGCAAGATCAGATGTATAAAAAATACTGATGATGAAATATCAGAGGATATGATTCCATTAGATGACCAAAATTCATGGGTGGACCAATTGGCTCAACTTGTTATAAATGTGCCACCGCCGCCATTTCAAAAAGACGATAGGATCGAACATATGGGATCAGAAAATTTCAGGTTCGCTTTCCGCATAAATAAGTATAACAGAATTAGAACTATTATCACAAAACATCACTTAAGAAAATTCTTACAGGCGAATGGTTTGTAATATGTTAAAATCATGGGCTACTAGCAGCACAATTGAGAGCCAAATTTTGATTCGAAAAATGTTCGCCCTTTTGCTGCGACAATATAATGGGGTTGGAGAGGTAACCATATAGTACCAATTGATGTTTAAGCAGTATCAAAGTACAGGCTTAAAACCATCTAAGAACTAATTACAGGTCAGTAATAAAGAGTTAGACGTGTTCATTTCAGATAATTACAGCATTGTCACAAACTTATGTTCTCCATGAACGTAACATAGAGGATGTTAAGGATTTCATCGAGCATCTCATTCAAGTTCGTGAATTAATAAAAATCCAATTTGAAATAGCCGAGGAATCAGTTTTAAAACAAAGCTTATGGTAATAATTTTTATTTTTAATCATTTTTTTAAGAGCACTCACCATTGCTGGTTAAACTTGCTCAGCTGGCTTGTCGGGCTAGAAAAATGTGCCAGGGAATCCCTTGGCGATAGAAATGCAGGTGAGTTGCCAGGATTTTTGTACAGTGATGAGGCTGGGAATAGAACCACAGCATGGGAGCTTCAAATTGAAAACCCACTGAACCTACTACTCTTATTTGCCTTCACGTTTAGACGAAATTGTCGTCCGATGGAGCATGGTGCGTCCGCCAGATGTGAAACCTCGATTTTCAATGACAATTTTCTTGTCATTGAGTCACGCTGAATCATCTGTTTTTCTTAAACATTTAAACATTTAAACATTTATAGCTAATCAAGGAAAATTTTTTTATCTTTCCAGCTTTTTAAGAATTTTCATGCTGAGAACTTAGCATGATAATGCAATACGAGCGGTAGGAAAATGAATCTGGGAAAAAAATTGCTCGGATGAAAAGAGTTATTTAAATAGATGATATGTAGGAATTTGATGAATAATCGAATTTTCTTCCAACATCCGGATTTGATGCGTTTACTGAAGGTGCATGAAGACGTTATGACTATTATGATGAATGTTCTAACTGCTCAACAAGGCACTGTAGAGCACTCCGATCGTGATACATCAGAGGAAAATTTGGCAAACAAAACAGATCGGGTGAGTAGAAAAACGTGAAATTGAAGTGAAATCTTTGCGAAACGTTTACCTTATTTTCAGTTTTTTCTTGTAAGCTGATCTATTCAATCTGCAGAATAATCGCTGATTCGTTTTCGTTCAGTTTTATATTCAAATATTTTGAAATATTTTGCATTGAGTCTCGATTTATGAATAATTTTATAGCAATTGAATGCATCTGAAATGGTTGTGGCTTGTTCACGTTTTTTGTGCTATTTTTGTCGGACATCTCGACAAAACCAAAAAGCTATGTTTGAACACCTTTCATTTTTGCTTGATAATGCTACGATGTTGCTAGCACGGCCAAGTTTGAGAGGTTTGTCTTCAAAAAAGTCTTGTATCTTGTACTTCTTCGTCTGCACTTTTACCACTAATGAATATAACTGTTTAAGGCTTTTACTTTGTAATGGTTTAGGTTCTGTTCCTCTGGATGTTGCTTATTCGAGTTTTATGGACAATAATGAACTTGCTCTAGCACTTAAAGAGGAAGAGTTGGATAAATTAACCGTCTATTTAAGTAGATGTGGTCTGCAGGTTTAAATCAATATATTTCCATTTTTTCGTTGAAGTTTGTTAATTTTATTTTTATTTTTATGACATTTATTTTTATATTTCAGTCAAATTCTGAGTTAGTTGCCAAAGGCTATCCAGATATTGGTTGGGATCCAGTGGAAGGTGAACGTTATCTCGATTTTCTACGCTTTTGTGTCTGGATTAATGGTGAAAGTGTGGAAGAAAACGCTAATCTTGTTATACGGCTACTTATTCGTCGTCCCGAATGTCTAGGTGTTGCTCTAAAAGGCGAAGGACAAGGTCTTTTCTCTGCTTTTAAGGTCAAGGTTTTTTCTCATTATACAACGCTTTAAAATTTTTTCATGCGAAAAAACGTAAAAGAAATTTGCAGGAAGCTATTGCTTTGTCTGAAGATATACATGCGCTTGAAGATGGCGACGATCCTCAGTTGCTGAGTAGCGCTGTTTTAAGACAACAACAGTTTGCATATTCATATGATTTTATAAAACTATTTTTGCTCATTTCATATCTTCATTTCTGTGTTAATTGATGATATAATTTAAATAGTTATAGTGATAATAGTGATTTCTCATATTTCTTCAGTTAGTTCGCCTCATTTTCGAAGAAAACTTAGTTTAAATTTTCGGTTACTTTTTATTACACTTTCGACGCGAAATATTTCTGAATGATTAAGATTTTCAGGCATTACCCAAGCAAAGAAGCTGAAGGTGAGGATTATATCGACCTTGGAGCCGCAACTTTAGATTTTTATTCTTCGCTAGTAGATCTCCTTGCCAAATGTGCGCCAGATAGATTGACGATACAGGTATTAGTATTTAGTTAATGATAAGATATTAATTTGTTAAACTTAATTTTAAATTTATTTGGTTAAAGAAAGGCAAAATTTGAGTGGGCGGTTATTTGCTTGTTTACCTGATATATATAATGGATTAAAGGAACTCATTTATAGGCAGGTAAAGGCGATAGTGTACGAGCACGAGCAATTTTACGATCTCTTATACCACTTGATGATCTCGGTCAGATCTTGTCATTAAGATTTACCATTCCGAACCTAATGGCTCAAAATTCTGCAGATGGTATGCTTTTATGACAAGAGTGCTATTTAACTTAGAACGATGAGTTAAAAACATTTTTAAGATGAGCAATTATTTTATTCCAAAATTATTTCATATTGTCTTATTTTCATTAATGATTTTTATATCTACTCGTTATTAAAAATTCACCAGAGGAAATATTTTTTTATGGAATGTTCCAGGAATTTTTATCACCAATTCACTAAAATTGTTTCTGGTCTCTAGAATAATTACTGCTAAAAATTAATGCTTTTTCACACTGGCGGAACTTGCACAGTTTTGAACTAAAGTTATTTTCAGTTTAATTAAACCATCTGTATTTTCTTCTATTTGCCCGCATACTAAATGGAAATAATCCGTACAATTGTTTTCTAATTGTCTAATTGTCTAATTCCTGGTTTCGTTAACCATCCATGTTCAAATAATTGATGTTGGTCTGGAAATCCAAGAAATGGTCTCTTGTGGCAAAATTTTATAATTTGCAGTTTTTAATTTAGTTATGGAATCTAAATGCGCTCAAAAATGCTAAAAATGTTTTTTAATTGAATACATGTTTTTTGCTAATTTTAATTGCTTTGTCCATGATAATTTTGATATAAATGCACAGAAGGTGATAAGAGTAAGCTGATTCGACGACAATCATCCGGAGCACATACGATTCTATCGAATGATTTGACAAATATTATCGCTGTTTCGGATGCGATAATGCTTCATTCAGAAATGGACGATAAATTTATGGATACTAACAATGAACTGGGATCTGATAATAGTACTGCCTTTTTGTCGGCTGATGGAAATACTCCAAGAATGGCTAATACAAGATTCCGCCTTCTCCGTTCGTCGAAAATTGCTTCTCCTGATTCGAATAAACTTGGTTAGAAGAGCATTATTTTAAATAGAAAAGTGGTGGTTTACTAGTGGTTTAATAATGGTTAACAAATATTATTGTATAAAATTGTACTAACACGAATCGAAGTTTTTTCTCTTCTTTCTTTTTTGACTGCTTCCACTGGCTGTTATAATGAGGAATTTAATTGGAAATGAAAATCCATCTGGTTAGTTCCGACTACATTCCGATGAAAATGCAATTTTTTTAATGCTAGTACCATCATTAAATAGATTTAGATGATCAACTCACTCATTTACTCAAATTTACTGTATACTTTTTAGATAAATAGATGAATAATGTATGGTGTAGATCAAAAGAGTTTAACTGATGTTGCTAACTATGTTTTTAAACTAATTTTTTCCAGGCTATTTTTAACCTAATAATTTTCTTAATGTTTCATATATTTAATATGTTAACAAAAATTTCTTATTGATATTTTTAATCCCATTATATTCTTATTTTTTATTGAAAGTAGAATTACAGTGAATTAAAAGAAAATTTAGAAAATTTCTTGGTTTTATTCTCATTTTTGGAATCAGAATAATTCAAAAATGATCTTAGATCCTGGGCCGCGTCCTGGCTTTTTACCAAATCATAAACAATCAGTGTTGCTGTTTTTGGACCGTGTATATGGTATTGACTCACAAGAGATGTTATTTCATTTTCTGGAGAAGAGCTTTTTGCCAGATTTGAGGGCGTCCACTATGATGGATTCGGTGAGTTATATTAATATATTGATATATTTATGCAGTACTTTTTCGTTAAAATTAAATCTTCGCACTTTATTTTCGATTTTTCAGCCAAAAGCAGTTGAAAGTGATACTGCACTGGCCTTGAATCGCTATTTATGTAATGCAGTTCTTCCTCTCCTAACCAATCATTCTAGTTTTTTCTCAGACGCTGAACATCATGCTGCCCTTTTGGACGCCACTCTGCATACAGTTCTGTTTATAGATAAATAAACTTATAATACACCATTAAATGTTAAGTTTTGAGCATAGTAGTGTTCCTTATAATAATACCTGTGATCATTATGCTGAAGAATCTAATAATTTACTCATTCATCATCTAAATAGTTTGAATATTCCCTCAATAATATAGGAGTTGTACAATATTTTACACAGCAAAATGCCTGTATTTCCTTATATCATAGGTTTTAATATAAATTGAATGGTTGGATTAAATGATAGGTAAATGTTATTTTATTGAATAAAATGTTGCATAATTATTGTAAATTACATCAAATAAGAGAAAATCCTTTCCAAATTAGCAAATGAATTTTTGCAGGTATATCGGATGAACCGCTTAAAATCATTAACAAAGAATCAACGAGATGCTGTTTCCGATTTTCTAGCAGCAATTACGCGTGAATTGCCTCCATCAATGATGGTGAAGCTAATGAGAAAAGTGATCATCGATGTACAGGAAATGATTGAACATTTCATTGTTCCTTTGAGGGTACGTCAAATATTAGCGAATCAAGCCAGAAATGTTAAGTGATGTAGAAATTGTGATAATTTACAATGAATGGTAGAAGGCAAAGGAAATCCTTTATGTAACTTCAGATTATAAGTCTATGCTTGAATAAAAAAAAACATAATCTGGTACTTTCTTTTGTCAAATTTATAATTTAAGACTAGAAATTGAAAAAAAAAACTTCAGATTATGACGTTACATTATGAAAGATGTACAAAATATTATGGCTCCGGAAATGCATATGGTGTGGCATCAGAAACGGAAAAGCGATTATCTATGCTTCTATTTTATGCAATTTTTGATGCTTTAGGCAGTATTCCTTATGATCCGGATCTTTTTGGAAAAGCACTTCCTTGTTTAACTGCAATTGGTTAATAATCTCTATTATTTAATCAATGTTTAATCTATTTGATAATTTTTGGTTTGAATTTTAATTTAATTTATTTTCAGTTTCAGTTTTAATTCAATTTTTTTGTTAAGATGTATAGTGAGTGAACTTTTTTATTGATGAAATATTAAAATGTTTGTGCTTAAGGCTCCGCAATATCGCCTGATTACACATTGACGACTGGTGGTGAAGATGCAGAAATAATAAAAATAAGAAATGACCAAGGCCTGTGGACTCCAAAAGTTGTGGATGTTTCTAATTTTGAGCTCAGTGGAATGCTTAGCAATATTACTACACAATTCGCTGAACATTTTCATGATTCATGGGCTAGCAGGAAGGTAAATTCATTGGTAATTCAATGTTTATGATAAGAATAATTCTCATTTTTTACACTATTTAGTAGTTCTTACCCGAACCATGGATAATTTAGTGCCTAAGTTTACCTAAATTTATTTATTATTATTTCAGATTGAAAAAGGATGGGTTTATGGCGATTTGTATTCAAGGCAGAGCTTAACCCATCCTCGTTTAAAGCCATTTTGTTTGTTAAAAGAATTCGTACGTTTTTTTTTGATGAAACAGTTTCTCTAATCCTGTTAAATATATTTTCAATATATTTTCAATATATTTTCCCGGTTAAATACCATGAATAGTTCGAAATCAGTTTTCTGCGCATCATTTAGGTTTTTATATTTTTGAACAAAGAAGTCTTAAAATATACAGAATATTGCCTTAATTTTTTTTTAGGAAAAATCATTCTATAAAGAAAGATGCAGTGAATGTCTAAGGGCTTTATTGGCGTGGAATTATACAATAGAACTAGTGGACCGTGATGCCGCTGAAAAAGCGGAACAGAACCACAGTTCATCAGGAAACTCAAGTAAATATTTAGCTCTTAAATTCTGGGCAAAGGTATGTCGAATGTAAATTATACATACACAATAATTATGCAATTACTTGAGAAGTTGGAAAAATAGTTAATTAGCATTATATATACATCAAAGATTTTATTTTTGCAGCTGAGCGGGGATTTCTTGATATTCCATAATTTCTCTGATTACAGTTCAAAATTTCAATCCAAGGCCTGTGGATTTGTCAAATATGACTCTTGAAAAGGATATGATGAATGTGGCGGAAAAAATGGCTGAGCATTCCCATAACATTTGGGCTAAACGAGTCTTTTCTGATCTAAAGACTAAAGGTGGGAATATGCCTGCTCAACTCGTGCCGTGGGATTTGTTAACAGATTACGAACGTCGAAAAGACCGGTTTCGAGCAGTGGAAATACTCAAATTTTTGCAATATCATGGTTATCGAGTTTCAAGGTTGAAGTCAAATTGACTATTTTTAAGTAATTCAGTTTGCTTTATTAAGTTTATCACTGCAAAACTAATGAATTTCAGCTCGCAAAATGTTGAACCAGCTGCAGAACGAGTTAAGGCAGAAAGTGAAAGAGGATCAGTTGAAAAAAGATTTGCATATAATTTGTTAGAAAAGCTTACGCAGTATTTAGAACAAGCTTCTGTTAAAATGAAGACAATAAAGCCCAGCCAAGAATTGAGCCGACGTAACAGTTTTCAGAAAGAAGGTCATGACGTAAAATTCTTTGAAAAGGTCGATTTATTTTCTGCTTTTTTCCCCATTTTTTCAGAATTAATTATTTGCTGGAATTGTCTTTATGATAATCAATAGAATAATCAATCAATAAAAGAATGAAATAGAATGCATTTTAATTTGGGCCATTTTTCTTCAGGTTGTGCTTCACCTTATTCATGCTTATTTCAATGCCCACAGAAATTATTTCCTTGCAAGCAGTAGTATTGTTCAAACGGGAATGGCTTCGAACAAAGAAAAGGAGATGGTGGCCAAGTTAGTTTAGGATGTTTGTAAGTTAGGTTAATGCAATGTGTTTTGTAGATTCATTTTGTGATTAATGATTAAATTCCAAGTATTTATTAAGAGACAATTTATTGAACTTATCTGACGCCAATAATATGTGGTTCTAATTGATGCAAATTTTATTTCTTGTATATTCATCTAGTTATCAGTTATTAAATTTTAAGTTTATTTTGCCGACTCGCTTTTCTTCTTCGAATCAAGAATCATGCATTCGGTAGTGTGGCAAAAGTCGCAGTACGTTGTCTACAAGTGCTAACTCGTGCGTTAGATCTTCGGTAAGCATACGCGATTTGTTACAATGATGCAAGTATAGGCAAAACTTTCTTCATTGTTCATTGAAGATTATGAATCGGTTTCTCTTTGTAGATTAGAAATTTTTTCCAGAACTTTGGTGAAAATCAATTCGGATATTGTGCGAACAAGTTTATTAACATTCTTCAATAACTGTGCTGATGATTTATATTTGGCTGTGAAAGAACTTCAGAATGGTGGCCAATATTCGTTATTGAGAGGCGAAAATCTCACATCATGGATGTCGCTCGAATTCGCCAATCAAGTGAACATTCCAGTTCTGACCACAATGTTCTTTCACTTATCTGCCAATCATTTTGGCACTGATCTCTTACGTAAGTTTTGTCATTGCGATAAATGGAAATATAATATTTTAGTCCTCTGGATCTATTGATCGAATTTTTTAAAATAACCGTGAAGCATTAATTTTGATAAACTTCGATCATTCAGACTAATCATAAATTGTATTAACTTTGGAACATGTTCATTAACTTTCAATTTCCATTAACATGTCAATATTTCTTAATTGTTTCTGTTTCAGTAGATGACATTCAGGCAGCTTGTTATAAGATCCTTGATAGTGCATATCTTTTGAATGGACTTGGTTCAGAACCACCGCAAGTGCATCACCGCAAGTCAATTGCTTATGAAACGGAAAAGTGAGCCGTTTTACTGATTGCTCAAGAAATGTTTATGGCAACGAAGCTTTATTTCGAAATTTATTTTTTAATCCTAATATTTAATTTGATTAAACACTTGGCGTTGTTTAAGAATTTAAATATTCAATCAATTCTTAATGCTATATTTTGAAGAAAATATTAAAGGTCCACTGTGCCAGTAAACCTTTTTTCGGCCTCTTGATCTAGTAGTATTTATATGTAAAAGTAATTGAATGTAAAAGTGAGTGATTCCTTTTCAACTTTTTTGAATGCTACTCGTCGAGATTATTTTTGGTTATCAGGATTTCATTTTAAGACACCGACCTGCGCTTGGTCAATGTCTTAGTGCTTTTGCTAGCTGTTTTCCAATTGCATTTCTCGAAGCAGAATTTAACAAATATAACAAATATTCGGTGCTGGCGAAGACTCAAGATCAATCAGTACAAGTCCAAGGTCTGAAGGCATTTTTTTAATTCTTAGCAACTTTTTTTGATTCATTCTGATTGATAAGTTTTTTCCATATTATTGACCTATATACATTTTTTTTCAGAAATGCTGCAAAATCTAGCAGCACATATCCCGAAATTGGAAAAACTACTTGCTGATATAGAAGAAGTTAGTACCAATGGTGTGATGTATAAAGATCAACCAAATATATACGATGTTGATCTACCATTGATATGTGCTTATCTGACTTATTGGTGGCAACTTGGGCCAGATGGTACTGGCAAAACTAGGTCACTAAATTCAAAATTTCTTAATCAGAATTTAATTCAAGAAAAAGGAGGGAAAAAATAGTAAAAATAGTAAAAATTAAAAATGATTAAAAAAGAATTGCTCTCTTTAATTTCATATTCTTTAGATCGTGGGTCGCCATTTCGAAACATTTCAATTTCGAACAGTTTTGAAATCTCAAATTGAATAATTTTCATATGACTAACCAAATTTCAGTCAACTGACAACAAGCGTTACTAGTGATCATATCAATCGTGTATTTTGTGCTCTTCTTACTCTGATCTGTAATCATGTTGGTGTAGAAAATGCCTCTTGGCTATGTCGAATCAATACATTTTCTGTACAGGTTGTACAATATGTGAGCTGTGATCCGATAAAGGATTATATGCTACCAGTTGCTGAGCGTTTAAGGCGCTTGGCTGAAAAAGCATTTAAAGATGAGGAGCATATGAGGACACATCCTGACGATGCAGATGAAGGGACTGTTGTTGAGGTAATTTTACAATCAATTAGTCGTTACGGCTTTTACGGCTTTTTGGCTTCAGTTCTGGTCTCATATTTTGATTATATTCGTTTTTCAAAGCATCTTTCGCGATAAGAGCTATAAGAGCTCTTCCATAATGCTCTTCCTTATTAAGTTTATATCATCATTGAATTAAAAATGGTCTATTTGCTGTAAATGTGCTATGAAAAATTAAATTTTAGGACAATGCACGTTTAGTGCGCGATGTTTATGCTTTCTTCCCTATTCTTATGAAATATTGTGATTTACACCGTGCACAGTGGCTGAAAACTCCATCATGGGAAACGGATGGTATTTATGAGAATGTCGCGGTTATTTTCAAAGTATTGTACCTTTTCCTCATTTCTTTGAATCAGATTTTTATTCATTTGGTCTATACCTTTTCCTTAGATTTGGTCTTTGTCACAACATTTTAAACGTGAGGAGCTGAATTTCATGGCACAGTATGAAGGTGAATCATTTTCGGCTGCAACTGGAGAAATGAAAACGGGTAAAGCTGCTATTGCAGAACGTAAAAAGAAGCGTCGAGAAGGACAGGTAGATACTATATAACTACTACAGAAGGAAATTCGATGGAAATGAATTTTTCAACCAAAGATGTGTAGTGAAAAGTATTGTAAAAGGATGAAGTACTATGGTATTATCAGGTTCGAAAAGATAAGCATGCGAATTCAATCATAATAGCTTGCTTGAAACGATTATTACCAGTTGGCTTGAATGTATTTGGTGGACGTGAATTAGATATCGTGCAACAAACCAAAGAAAAGTTTTTGGCGAAAGAAAATGAAGATAAAATCCGCGAATTCGTTCGTTCCCTTCTTGAAATACCCGTTAAGGTTTATTTTTTTTCAGCAACTATTAAAAAAGTGCGGAACGAAAATTTTAGTCTTTAAAATTTAAAATTAAAAATTTTTTATATATCTTTTAATATGACGAGAATCTCTAATGGATTTTTATACTTCAGACCGATCCAACGGATAAAAATGCATGGCAGTTAAGTTTGTATCGTAAAATTGGAAAGTCACAAATGCGTGGTAATGAAGCTATGACTCAAGATGCAATCGTTGAAAAAATCACTAATATGGGTCAAGTAGTTGCCATTCTTCACATTGTACGTTCCTTTTTTTCACAAAATGAAATTTTTCGTTCAAAAATTATATCGTTAAATAGTTGGATGATTTTTATATGATTAATGTTTCGTGTTTTGTGTTCCTTTCAAAATGAAATTGTTGGCTTTTGATAGTGAACGTCATTCTTTTTTCTTTTAATTAACATTTATTACTACAAATCCATGTTGCTTTCGAATGATTTATCTCTGACTTTATTCCCTAGAAATACCAAATTTTCTTATTCATAGCTGAAGCAGTTTTGTGCCGTTTAAGCCTTTTTAAAACCTTTTTTAGTTGATAAATTGATTAAAATATTTATATTTTTGCAACTTTTCCCAATTTTATAATTCATTTTTCTGACCATTTTATCATTTCTTAACCCTTTAGATTTGCTATTTTTGTTTTTCTTTTATCAATGCAAATGACTGCACTGTGAAGTGTTTTTTTTAGCGTTAATCTCCCAACTAGAATTGCTTTTTTTTCGTATATTTTCCGAATAACTGTTTTTATATTAGCTTGATATAATATGCTTTCCTCAAGAAAATACCATAAGTGCTACATAATCAGAATAAATTTATCTGTGGATCTCATGAACATTGTTTTACGATTTATCTTGTAATTTTCGTTGTCAACTTATGTTATTGCTTTCTCCTATCTCTAGAAATACACCATTAACTACTTTAACATTTAATGCGGTTGAATAGTGGTTCTGGATAATGTTCACCGCTCGAATTTTTTAATTCCTGTCCTATGTAGAAAATGATAAAACTATCTTTTCATAATTTTGAAGAAAATCATGACTTAAAGTATGGTTCGGGTCCTCTTATCCTTTAGGAACTAATAAATTCAAGGGGTGATGTTGATCCACTTATACTTCTAACAAAGTGATTCTCATAAAATTGATAAAATCCTTGCCAGAAATGATTTAAATGATCGGAAAATTGCTTACAACTCCATCTTCGTTGTGAATGTTCTAACTCTTATTTACAGTTTTCCTTTGCATTATTTTAAGCATATTTAAAAATACGTTATTTAAATCACATTGTGTTCTTTTTTTTGCGAAAATAACTATGGATAGGCAAGTAATTATTGGTGCAGTATTGCAGTATTGTCAAGTGATTTCGATAATACTATTTTGATGAACGATGCATCATTTCGTGTTTTCGACTAATTAGTATTGCGAAGCTAAATTTGTTTGTCGCTATAACTTCAAATTTCCATTTTTATTTTAGCGCATTCTGTGGTACTGCATTGACTTATTGGTGGACTATCGAATTGTTTAATTATTTCAGTTCACTGCCCTTATATTTTTTATTTTTTCCTAAGTTTATCATTTTGTCTTTTGCTGCTTTTTTTGAGAAAATTTTTTCCTTTATTTTTTGAACCATAGATTTGGTTCTTTTTTGTTTATTAAAAATTTCGTTTTTTGCGACGTTGCAGACGGAGCATTCATCAACGTCGCTAAAGAGTGCGTGGAAGACGATGTTGTCAACTCAGCGTAAACGGGCCGTCGTCGCTTGTTTCCGAATGATACCCCTTCACAGTGTCCCAAGGTATAAAGATACAATTGCATTCAAGAACAATTAGCACATAGATTTTTTAAATATTTTTACGAAACTTTGGGGTGTTTTGTAAGCAATTTATACTCTATAAGCCAAGGTCCATCAGATCCTTCTTTATGGATGGATTTGGAGTTCTAGTCAATAGATTTATTAAAGAATCGCAGAGGAATGATTAAAAAGTTGAGTCTTTTGAAAACCTATTAAATATTTGATGCAGTGCTGTAAACTATCGAGTCTAAGCTCTTTAAGTGAATAAATCCGCTCATTCCATTTCTTGCGTGCAGTATCGAATTTTTGTTTCATGTTTAATTTCCTTTTTTTTGCCATTTATGGACGAAGAACATAGGCTTGATCATTTAAAAAGAATGAATGTTAAGTTCAGGGTAATCGGGCGGTTCAAATTTTATTCATATTTATTCATATTTCAAATTTTATTCATATTTGAAACGAAAAAAAATCCGCGTCAGAATTGGTTTTCTAATGTTTCATTATTCATTATTTTGAGTTTGACATGGTTTAAGCATGAACGCAATTTTTATATAATTTTTATTTAATCAGTTTTTTGCCTTTGCGCTTAATTCATAAAAATACCATTACTTTCTGTGTTTGCGTAACTACGTAACTAAGTTTTCAAAAATTGTAGTATCTGCTTTGCATGAAATTGTTTGCTATTTGATAGCCATTGATTTTCCATTAGTTAAATTCGTGGTGGCTTTTAACGTAAAATACCAATAATTTAGTTTTTTTTTCTGATTGACTTATCGCAGATATCGCAGATAGCTATTTTAAAATATTTTTTACACAAAAATCTTTGCTATAAACCAATATTTATCTTCTCTTACGTTAAGTACTAACAATAAAACTAAGTGAACAAAAGTTTGCATTATTCAATGAAACTTCTATATGCGCTAGCGCTTAGACGTATTTCATGGAGAAGAAAGTGGAATTGCATAAATACAACGGGTGAAGTACGATAAAGACTTTGAATTTTGAAATAATTTTGAAAAATTTTTAAAACGAATCCATAAGACTCAAATGGATACTCGCAAATTAAAAACGATTTATGCTTTCTAAAAATTTAATAGTGTGACTTTGTTTTTTCCACGCTTTTTATCTGTATTTTTTGATTGCGGAATGCATGCAATGCAGGTGACAAGCAAACTTGAGAAGGAGGATCGTTGGAAGAAGGTAATATCGCTTCAGCGGAAGCGTTTGGCCATCAGCTTAATAACAGCCAGTCATCTGTACAGGGTAGACAAGTAAGTATAAATATTTACTAAAGCTTTCGTATTGTTATACTTAATCTATTTCTGATTCCTTAATTTTTAAAAGCCAGCACGAATCTAACCTGAGAAAAACGTGAAGAAAAATATTATATAATAGAACGGAGCTTATCATGAACCGTTGGCTTAATCGTTAGTTGAAAGCACGGTAAGTATGTGCGTAAAAATTATAGCAATTTCAATAGCCATTGATTTTCCAATAGTTAAATTCGTGGTGGTTTTTAACGTAAAATACCAATAATTTAGTTTTTTTTCCGACCATTGCAATAATTCACTTGCTTTGAGTGTTGCTTTTTGGGTGTTAAATTTTGCTTCAAGGTTTATACCTGCCACTTTTTCATTAAGTCGTTTTTTAATTTGATAATGAATAGAAGAAGGAAAAATAACAATGGTCCTTTTCGAAATATTTTACATGGTTGGTTCCAAATTTTGTTCAACAGGCATCTGTTTTCAAAAAATTCAAAAATTCAAAAAATTGAATTCCAAGGTAACATAACGGTATGGATTTAAAAAATTCGTAATATGCATAAATATCAACAATTTCATATGATTGAGCTCTAAGATTTCAACGATTCTTTAGAATCGACCATTAATTTTTATTTAAAGATGGGTTAGAAGAAAGAAAACTATTATATTATGATAAGGATTGTACGAAAGCTGATAAGTTGATGCCAAGTTTAAAAATATAATCATTGTTTCAGTTTAAATTAAATTAGTGCAAAGGTGATCATTTTGGTAGAAATCCGAAAATTTTTTGTTAAGATTTTTTAAATTAGTGTGCACTTTCACTTCTGACAAAGTGAACAAAAATCAACCAATAAATATCGTTGATTATCTTTAATTTGAAAAGGCTGTGAATCGAAGAGATCAGCACATTTCGGATCTATATCCCAACTGATCTAAAAAATATTGTAAATATTGTTTAGAAATATTAGCGCCATTTAATATGATTCTATGTTTCTGAAATCTTGTCTTGGATATCTTGGATATTTTAGCCGTTCAAATAAAAAGTTATTTAAATTCAGTTTTATCCTCAACAAAAAATTGTTGATCAGCCATGATGAACCTTGGCTCTTTAATTTCAAGTTCAATATTAATATGCATCATCAATTTGTTTTGTAATCGATATATATATTGCCAAAAATACATTATTTTCACAAAAATAGTTTGTCTTTTTCCTTGTTTCAAGACTGAAATCAACTTAAATATTTCAGGCATCGTGCAGTCAATTACTTTTTACCCGCTTTCAGCAAGCTATGGTTGGAGGATGATAATATTGGTCAAGACGCATTAATTACTGAGATTACGGTATTTACATAAAAATTTCCGCTCTTTCGAATCATTCTTTTTTCTAGCTTTGGATGTCAGGACAAGATGTAAAAGTTGGCACAGTCTAGGAATTTTTCCATAATATAAAAGATATTTCCAGTTTTCTCTACCATTTTTCTCCATCATTTTTCTTATTTTCAAGTCTTTGAATTTCCTTTTCCATTTGGATCATTTGTCCAAGTAATTGACTAATTATTTAATTCATTCAGTATTTTAAAATCGCCTAAACCTTATAGTATTCTATAGCATTCGGGAAAATTAAAATTTAAAATTTCAGAACACTGAAGATGAGGAAGATGTTCCACACACAAATCTGGATGATGAATTATTTAGCGAAGATTTTCGTGATGACAAGTATTTTTCTTTTTGGTTTTTGAATATAGAATATAACTGAATAGAGTAGAAAACTTTTACAATTCATTTCTGTGGTAATTTTAACTTGTGTGCAAATGTGTGGATGTAAATGGAAAGCAACAGCTATTTACTTATATATATTAAATTAAATTAATTAAACGGCTCAAAAAGATGCTTTCTTCAGGGCTGCAATTACTGATTTATAATTTGCAGCTCTGCGATCAAAAAATTGGTACTTGAATTTTCGATGAACTTAGCTAGATCTTTCATCAAATTCATCTGATAAATAAGAACTATATATATCCTATTAATTATAGGAATGCGGTAACACGTGCAGACCCTTTGAAGCAACTGATTCAATGCTTCCAACGAGCAGCAACAAGTGAGCAAAGTCAAGTAGCTTCAATTGCAAATGATACTCTCTTCGTTAATTTCGCTCGTGTTATGTCCAAATCAATTCATATAGAAGATGAAGATGGCGATGGTGACGATGAAGGCGAACTTGATCAAGCTGTCAGTTATTAAAATTTTAGATCAAAATTAGCATATTAAGTAGAACCAACTAATTTTTTCGATTATCGGCTCGTACAAGATTAGATTTATTACAGCAAAAAGAGGAAATATCGCAGGCACTTCGAGCTGAGCAGGCAATCTTAGCTGATCGTGGGGCAGCAATAATGTGCTTAATGTATTTGTCAGCAAGTAATGGAGAGCCAAGTGAGATGGTTGCTGAGACATTACAACTGGGAATTCATTTGCTAAGTGGAGGCAACATTCATATTCAAAAAGTCTTTTTTTATTTTATTGCGCTAAAAATTATTAGTCTGTTAAAGTTGAAATATTAGAACCAAAATTACAATACAATATTCAATATAGTTTTGTGGGGCAAAATTCAGAAACGCTTTCTATCTTTGGATCATTGAATTTTTTTTGAATGAATCTTAGAAAATATATAATTGCTTATCACTTGTCCATTTGTCTTACAAATTCTCTCATATTTTTACTCATACTTTTACTGAATATCTGAAATTCTGAAATGCCTATCGGTTTTATTTGAATTAATATCGTCTTTATCTATAGTTTACTTTAAAATAAAGAATCCATGTAATCCGAAATGTAGTTTATTACAGCTTCTTATTGAATACTTACAACTAAAGAAGGATGTAAGGTTCTTTACGTCTTTGGCTGGTCTCATGAATAAATGTAGTGTGCTTAATCTGGAAATGTTCGAACGTCAAATCAAGGTGTGGTTTCTCATTTCTAATATTTTTATGGGAAAAAGAGCAAAAAAAATCAAATGTTGAAATGGTTGGGGTTCTACCTAAACCTATCCAATTTCTTGTGGACACTTTTAGGTATACGATTCTACGATTTTACGATTCGTTACGATTCTATATAATTCATTTTTTTAGGCAGAAGGTTTGGGCATGCGGGCTGAATTGGCAGCTGGTGGCAATCAGAATTTGAATGATGCAGATTTTACTTGCAGTTTATTTCGCTTTTTGCAACTTACGTGTGAAGGCCATAATTTAGGTTTGTTGGTTGTAAAGTTTTGATTTTGGTCTCTTTTATAATTCCAGAGAGATGGAGGTTAAAAATGATGTTACTATTTTCCTATAATAGATTCTTGTTTTCCAGTTGGTGGTGCAAATTAAGGCAATATTCAGCCTATCTAATTATGCAAATAATTACAAAAATTAAATGAGCACTTCTGCTTTTTCAGAATTTCAAAATTATTTACGAACCCAGCCAGGCCATACCACTAGTATCAATCTGATTAATTCAACAGTGGATTATTTGCTTCGATTACAAGAATCTGTTATGGATTTCTATTGGCATTACTCTAGTAAAGAAGTAATTGACGAAGGAGGAAAAGAGTATTTCCTACGTGCTATTCGAGTTTGCAGTCAAGTTTTTAATACACTCACTGAGAGTATCCAGGTATTCCCACTTGAAATTTCAGGTCTAAATTTTTCTAAAGTTGAATTTATTGAACAAAAATTAATTCTGATAAATTCTGACAAAATTCGTTGAAATGTATTTTATTGTTTTCTATCTAACTACGTCAGAAACAAGAGAAAAGCTCTTCATATCACTTTCTTATTTATTAATATTAAAATGTTTTTTTGGATTTTAGGGGCCTTGTGTCGGCAATCAAATGACATTGGCCAATTCACGATTGTGGGATGCAATTAATGGTTTCTTCTTTCTTTTTGCGCATATGATGGAAAAATTATACAAGAACAGCACTCAACTTGAACTGCTTCGTGAATTTCTCAACCTTCAAAAAGATATGATTGTTTTGATGCTTTCCATGCTTGAAGGTATATCTTTTTTTGCATTATGCAATGAATTATTGGTGATATAATTTGATAGCATGAAGCAACTATTAAAAAAATATTTATGAAGTGAATATTTATGAATAAAAGGTACCATTTCCATGAGGCTACTCTTTTTATTTAAGGTAATGTTCTCAACGGACCAATTGGCAAACAAATGGTCGATGCACTAGTTGAAAGTCAGCAATGTGTTGAAATGATTTTAAAGTTTTCGGATATGTTCCTCAAGCTCAAAGATCTCACTACTTCCCAAGCTTTCCAAGATTTTGACACCAATCGAGATGGTTGGATTTCTCCAAAAGAGTTTCAAAGAGCAATGGAAAGTCAAAAGATGTATAGTGTGTAAGTATTATTCATTCAATATTGTTACCTTTTTAATAGAGTAAAAAATCAAATATTGATTAAAGAGAGCAAATAATTTAAATAACTTCAATAAAATAAGTACAATAAGTAATTTTTAGCATTGTTTTTTTATTAAGCTCGCTTCTCCGATCTTTAATGGGCTTAGAAATCTTTGCCAAGGTTTTTGCCACTTGACGATGGAAATACATATGGATCACCAGCAGCACCCAGACCTAACATGATCTGAGGTTCTGTGGTCCATGACTTTCCGTACTGTAATCACCCAAATGTTTTATTGCCTGTCATTTGTATTAGGCTTATATACCATATAAAAAGAAATTTTGCGTAGATTCTTTGAAAATTTAAGTGTTACGAGCTATTCAAACAAACAAATATAACTTAACTGAAGCAGTTGCGACAAAATAAAGTTTAACTGCCTGCTTTTACTTTTTCAGTGAGGAAATAACTTACTTAATGATGTGTACTGACGTGAATAACGATGGTAAAGTTGACTACATGGAATTCACGGAGCGTTTCCACAATCCGGCTCGAGACATTGGTAAAATAATAAGGATGCTGTTTATAACTCGGGCTTGATTGTTTAGTGCTAGAAATTAATTGAAATTATCATATGTCTGATTAGATTTTCTAGATTAAATAATTCATTATAATCACAAATTTAGGCTTCAATTTGGCAGTATTGTTAATAAATCTCAAAGAACATATCACAAACGATCCTCGTCTTGAGAAGATCATTGAAAAAGCGAGCACATTATTAGAATATTTCGATCCTTTTCTTGGTCGCATCGAAATAATGGGCTCGAGCAAAAGGGTGGAAAAAATTTACTTTGAAATTCAAGAATCATGGCTTGAACAGTGGAGCAAACAACAAATTAGGTTAAAAGATTTTTCTTTCATTCAATCGTAAAAAATTTTTAATTTTAATTTTTACTATGCCTTTCAAAGGTATTTCTCATTTCTTTTAAGGGATTCCAAGAACTCATTCTTATTCAATGTATTACAAGATGATGGTGGAGACCAAGGAAAACTGGAGGCTTTCATAAATTTTTGCGAAGATACTATTTTCGAAGTAATTTTCTCTATATATGAGCTTCAAATTTCGTGATTTTAATCTGTTCCACCATTCTATATACCATATTATATTAATAAGTAATGTAACAGTGTATTAGAAATCTGCTAATCATAGCCCTTCCATGAATAACGCTTTAGAATTTTTTGAAACAAAGTTTTAGATGCAACATGCGGCAGAAATAAGCGCAGGTGACTCGGCTGACTCAAAAATGGAAAGAGCACTCAAGCAGAGGGAATATTTCTTGCAACAAACATCTGCTGGCGCGTAAGAACATTTGTTTGCACCAGGAATATTTTTCATATGCTTTTTCTAGCATGCTTAGGAAAAAATGCAAAGAAATCTTCTATTTGTTTCAGTCAGATTTCTGCAACCTTTAAAACAGGATTTAACTATGGCTTGAATGCAGCTACAGCTTTAAAACCATCACATGTCAGCCAAAAGTTCAAAAGTGTTGCATTGAAAATCAAGTAAAGTTGAAACTTGCATCTGCCAATTTTTTTTTTCCATTTCAATTAGCATTAAGTAAATTAGTGGTTAGGCCTCATCATAATCGATTGTATTTGCTACACTGGATATTACGATGAGAAACTTTTGCAAAGGAATAACTTAGCGATAGAAAAAAAAGTACACCGCCAGCATTCTGATTTCTCAATGATAGGTTTACCCTCACCGGAGGTAGGGTTTGAATTCTGACGCTCAAGATGGTTATCATGCTAAAAACCACTCCTGTCTACTGTCTACTTGTTTGACATTACTTTTTCAAAAAAATAATAACCTAAAGAATTCATTTATAGGTCCATGACTTGGGCTCAAATCATTGTTGAAACGATCAAGATGATATTTAAATCATCTCAAAAAATTGCCTTGTTTTTATATTTGGTTATTTGTACGTTATTCCGTTTCGGTTACTATTTAATGACACCGGAGAAGGATGACGAAACTGGTCAAACTCCATTACCAATCGCTGAAAGGTAAACGTATGAAGAATTACATGAATCTGGTATTTAACGATTATTTTAATGATACAAATGACATTTTAAGCATGACAACACGCTTTCAAACTGTGCACCCAAATGACATACCATCATTTCGCTATCATCATCATCATGATTTCGACGTCTTTGGTGTTCATTTACATACAGATGACACAGTAGTTCCTCCTACTCCAACATTTGGTGATGTAACTTCAGGTAATGCGAAAAATTTCTGTTAATAATGGTCATTCATATTGAAAAATTTTTTTTATTTTATGAATGATTTACCCGATCAACCAGGGATTTTTGGTCTATTTTCAGCCCCAAATTTTCCTACGGCTGCCACAGAGACCGTGAAAGTCCAAACGACTGCAGCTGCCCCAGCTTCTCCAAGGTATTTAAGACTTTTCTGGAACAATTTTTCGGTTAAAAGTTTTTATAATGAATTGGCTTTTAGAAATTGATAGCCTTATTTCAATTTGTCAGCGATTGAATTTTTCACTTCAAATGGCTTTTCAGCATATACGAAGCACAGAGCGTGGTTGGATCTGGTCAATACGGTATAGTAGCCAGTCATGCTGCATCAGAGTTTAGCGAAACTTCTGGTTATTATGAGCCAAAAATTGCTGAGCAAAGTCTAATCAGGAATAAAGGATCGATCTTAGTCAGATATCTTTAATTTTTTATTATTTATTTTTCTTTTCCTTGCAAATTAAGCTTCTATTTCTAATTCAAAAATTTTTCAAGTATTCATTATTTCCATGGTTTTTTCTAGTGGTCCCAAAATTTAATGCTCGTACGCTGCTTTTTTTCTGTTAGTTTTGATTAATTTGAAGCAAAGATTTCATTTACTCCAAATTCCCTTTCTTATAAGCTGTTGAAAAATTATAAAAACAATTATAGAATGTATTAGCACGCAATTTCAAGACAATTGAGAAGACGACCTTGTATCTTGCATTCTTTATCAATGTTATTTTGCTATTTCATCGAGTAAATATCACGTCTGGCTCAGCTGCTGACAATAGTATTTGATTTGATTTTTTAATAATTAATAGCCTTTCGAATTAACTTAATTACTTTTTAATCAATGGAACTTAATTACTTTTTAATCAATGGTTTGCTGGAAAATTGAATATTCGTAAATATACATTATATAATTTTGATAAAGATGGCGGTGAAGAAGAGGAAGGAAAGGAAACGGTTTATATTACCGGTATGGTGGTTCCTTATATTGCTTATGAAATAACTGGTTGGACATTGTCCCAGGTGAAATACATTTTTTAACATTTTCATACGTATCTGCATCCATATTCTTGCATATAGGGAATTCACATCGAAACCAAGCAAGTGTTGCACTATTCCGTTGATTTTCATATCATAGCTGCAGTCTCAGTGACATTCTCATATTATTTGATATTAAACTTATTTGTATTTTATCATGTAAAGCAAATTTACGATAATATAAATAGAATAAATTCGGTAAGTACTATAGATATGCGAAAAAACTGTATTAGTTATTATTTGGCTTTATAATGCTGATAAATCGAATTTTATAGCTTCTATACTGGATAAGCGTACTACATGCACTTGCATCTTTTGCTCTTCTCGTATCATTTTATCAGCTGAAGGTAGTTTTTCGTATTCAAAAGGATCACAGATTTTGAGAGTCGTATTCATATAAAAAGAATTTCAGTGCCAAAAATATCTACAAAACCAGTAATGGCGTATGCAAGCAAAAAAAAAGACGCAGTAAAAAAAGTTTTTTAGATCCCTTTAATTACATTCAAACGTGAAAAAGAAGTAGCTAGGCGCTTGATGTTTGATGGTTGTTGGATCACCGAAGAAGATGAGGAAGAAAGAAGTTTGGTAGACTCCGTCATGTGGTATTCATTCCTATAGAGATAAAACCTAATGATATAATTCTAACTTCTCTTGTTATCCGAAAAAATTTTTATCTAACATTGATGAAGATGGCGATGATAAGGGGGGAAAAAAAGAAACGATTTATATCACCGGTATAATGCTTCCTTCTGTTGCTTATGAAACAATTTTATTTGAGATTCTGGAATCACTTGTCTGTCATAATTTCTTCCAATTTTCTAGCATACTATAGGTACCTCGACCGCATTGTAATCAGTTCAAAGTCATTCCCGATGAAATATTGGGACAAATTCGTCCGTCGAAAGACGCGACAAAAATTCCGTGAACAAATTGATGAGGAAACATTAAATGCAATACTAGGTGAAGATAAATCGGCTGGAGATAATTCATTCGACTATCGGTGAGTATCTTATATAGGGTTATGTCTTATTTTATTATTAATTAATTTTATTTGGAATGTGGGTGGTTTGGTGGCAAGATGATTGCCCTCGAAAGTCGTAAATGGTTCGTATTGGAATTCCGGCTGTTGCATCACGCTTCGCCAGGCAGAAAGTGTGACAGCAGTGTTGCCGAATGGCGAAAGCAAGGGATAGAATGTCTTAGTGGGTTGTTGCTCAATTTAAAACTCTTACTTAGATTACTTAGATTCTACGCCCAGAATAAATCTTCCGGGTGATGCTGGTGATCTGCCTTTATTTCTATCGTCAAATGACTCCACTGTAAAATTTTCTGGTAAAACAAGCCAGCGGAGCAAGCCTAACTGGCAGTGAGTGATAAGTGCTTTTGGAAAAAATATTTCGATATTTCGATAAATGTGATGAATTTTCTTAATCGATTATATGCCTTTCACTCATTTCTTATTTAATCGTTTTAAGCGATAAATGAATTTTCATTGAATTCTTAAAAATTCTAATTTTCATAAAAAAAACCATATTCTAGCTATACTTGTTGGTTATGGCTTGGTGTAATATTGACCAATGGTCAGTTCCTCTATAGAGTTAATTACTTGTTCTGCTCTGCATGTGGAGTATTCTTCTCACCATTTTTCTATGCATTTCATCTGATCGACGTAGTGCTTTCTTTCCCTATGTTAAAAGCAATTCTACAGTCAGTTACTCACAATCTACAACAGGTTATTTTCCTCTCGGTTGTGCACTGAAAATAAAGTTTGATTTTAGAAATATTTAATATTAATATTTATTAAATAGTGAAATTTTTAGTTGATCCTTACAATTATGATGACTCTCGTTGTTGTATACTTGTACACTGTGGTTGCATTCAATTTTTTCCGGAAGTTTTATATACAAGAAGGAGAAGAAGGAGAGGAACCTGACAGAAAGTGTCACAATATGCTAACTGTATCCTTTTTTTGTATTTTTTTCCATGAACTTGTGCATTAATTATTAGTTATAATTAATGTTGCAGTGCTTTATATTCCATTTCTACGCGGGTGTACGAGCAGGTGGTGGTATTGGTGATGAACTTGAATCGCCATATGGTGATGACCTCGAATATCCTCGTATGCTTTACGACATTTCATTCTTCTTCTTCGTCATCGTTATTCTTCTCGCTATTATGCAAGGTTTTTGTCTATTTTCATCTCTTAAATGTATGTCACATCACTTCTAAACAAGTGGCTGTTCATTTTTTTATATTTAAAATAAGCATTTAAACTGTGGTAAAAGTCAATATCAAGTCAACATGTTTAATTCTGGCTTAAATAGTTTAATCTTAAGGTTTGATCATTGATGCCTTTGGCGAACTACGTGACCAGCAAGAATCTGCAACTGAAAAACTGGAATCTTCTTGTTTCATCTGTGATATTGGCAAGGAAACGTTTGACCGTATGCCAAGAGGATTTGAAATTCATACGACTAAAGAACATAATTTCGCTAATTATTTGTAAGTGATGAATTTCATCGTTTATATTTAATGTGGTGTAATCCATTAGCCAAGGCTTTTGGATTGTATTCCATCAACAACGGCAAAATTTTAATTTTAGATCAACTAAGAAATATCACAGAAATATAATATATTTTTATATATTTACTTTAATATATTATATATTTTAATACATTTACTTAATATATATTACTTTAGATTCTTCTTGCAACATTTAGTAAACAAGGATGAAACGGAATATACAGGTCAAGAAACATACGTAAGAGAGAAGTATGATAATCGTGACTGGGAATTCTTTCCAGTTGGCGAATGTTTCGTGAAACAATATGAAGATCAACTACTACAGTCCTGAACGATTGAAAAATTTAAATAGTGTAGCGAAAATTTGAGTTTGGTGGCCATTTTACATTTCTTTTTGCCTATATTAATCTTCTTCTATCATAAAAAACGATTCAAATCTCTAAAACAATTAAAAAATTGTTTAAAATTAATATGGCTCAGTATATTGTCGATTTTAGTGCTTTCGATAAAAAAATTTGAATAAAGCAAAGCAGATCATTCATCCAAGAAGAGTAAAATTACGAATACCGATTGCCAATTTGCTACTACTCATCAAAATTCGTCTAAAAATGAGGCTAATTTGATTTGAAGTTGAAATGAATACCTTTCGTTCTCATTCATTCTCAAAAATCGAAATAAGTGGAGGCAATTGCACATAAACAAAAATGAAACCATTCCATAAATTGGAAATGACCTGTATTAATTTAAGATTCTTCTATACTATTCAGTAAACAAGGATCGAACAGAGTATGAAATAAAATTAGAGTTTGCTAAAAGGGAATAATTAATTCTCAAAATTTCAATTTCTCTACCAATCCTGGATGTGCGACGATTCTTTTCCATCACCGCCTGAATTCATGAAAGTTTTTGAATCTCGTTTGATTAAAGAAAATTTTAAATAAAGCTTTCATCAAATTTAATTAAAATCGTTAATTTTTTTTAAAAATAAATAAAAGAGTAAAGTGCAAAAAAAAAGAATGAAATTTAAAAGAAATAATTTCAATCAAATGGGTTTTAATTCATAAATTTGGCTTGGATGCACAATTGAATTGGCATCATAAACGGATGGATTTATTTGCATCTAAAATATCCCTAAAGAGATTCTGTTTGTCTATAAAATATTCATCTTAATTAAAGTTGTCAATACATTTCAGAACTGGAGAATTGTAGCAATCATTTATATGGTTGTTCGCAGAACTCGAATTTTTCGTTTCAGATACTACTGTGTTATAGCATGTTGTAGGTGGTCTATTAAGTGCAGTTCGTTGACCTCTTTTCGTGAATGTAATGGAAATAAGGTGCACAAGGACACTTCAATTATGCTTTATATCAAAGATGGAGAGAAATGGTGCCAAATGTTCTTAAACTAAGATGCTAAATTCGACTTCGTTAATCAGTTCAAATCCGGAAATGTCTCGTATTTCATAGATATTTATGCTAAATTCTCATTTATAAATATGATAAACACTTTTTACATAACTTTTTATATTACACAACATATGCATTTTTTCAATATTTATTTCATGTTCATAGGTCGAAAACTTGTTTCGAAAATTCGATCATTAATTAGGCCTTTTTGGATGATAAGTTTAGGATACTTTTGGTGAGGTTTTTGGATTGCACATTAGTCTATTTGCTGATATGTCAAATTTGAATCCGCTTTATCAAACGAGCCCCGGTTTGCTACATAAGCGTTTTTTTCTACGAGAAAAGATCCTTTCGGCGACACCTATTACTTTCATTTAATTTTGATTTTATGTTATTGTTATTTTATGTTATTACTATTGTTAGTTATTATTTATTACTGCTATTATTTATATTATTACTAATATTTAAATTTATTAGTTACGCATTATTATTATCAACATTAATATTATTTATTACCATTATTATTATCAACATTAATATTATTACAGTCATTGTTAGATGGCCTAGTGATGCGACACACCTAAACCATCCTGGGTCTGTAAGTCACATGGACTCATACTGTCCCAGTGTCATCATCCACAATCGCAGGTGAATGCTCACACTTAATTTAAATTGAAAATTTTTATGCGAATATTCAACGAAAAAACGAGGTTGACAGCATTTCCTGACTTGTAAAAATATGTGCAACTATCATCTCCGGAATTTTGTTTCTAAAAACCCACACCACTGCTAGTTCGGCTCGCTTAGCTAGCTTGTCGAATTGAACAAATTTTGCGATGGAATCATTTGGCAATAAAAATAAGCGTGATTTTCCAGCACCACCATGGCTTTTCAAGGGCAGGTTCACTCCTGCAGAACCTGTCGGAACTCCGACATTGAGCTATTCTATCTTTTTTGTTTTTTGTTTTACGTGGTACGTAGGCCGAAATCGAACCGAAACTATTCGATTCATTTACCTTGCCACCAAGCATCAATGCGCCCCCATCATTTAAAATACAGAATACATTCAAATTGGTCAAGTTATTAAATTTACTAAACTTACAAGCTATTTCTATTAATTTTATTATGTTCATTATAAAATTGCAAAACTGCAAAAAAATACGTCAATTCAGTCAATGAAAAACATGGAAAACTGTGGTGTTAAAAATCCCTATTGGTGCCATTCTTTCAAGTTTTAATGATTTTTAATGATCTAAAATATAAACTGAAAATTTGATAAACAGTAATGTGTAGCAGATCCTCATCAGTTTATAAAAAAAATAAGAATTTATCGTCTTTTCTTCTAGATACCTGGGAAAACAAAAAATCCAGAATCAATAGATGAGAAAATACGCGTTACTTATATAAAATATTCAATATATTATAAATATTAATTAAAGAAATAAAGATATAACCCCAAAGAAGCCGAAAAATTTACAATAATCGAATTCTAAATACAAGCAAATGCACAACCAGTTCAATATAAAATGAGATCTACATGACCGCACAACCACTTAAATTTCTTGGATCGAGATCTGTTTCATAAAGTTTTTCTTCTTTCGGTGGTGGAAGACTTTTTTTGCTCAATTTGATTTTAGAAAAATCAGGCATAGTTGCTTTTGACAAATTGAATGATGTGTAAACGGAGTATGACCAGACCTGAAAAAATTTTATGCCCAAATTAGATTAGAGAAACAAAAAGGACTACCTATCATTCTATTGACCACTATCACTCCCAGATTTTTTCAAGATAGATTAAAGAAAAAAAACTATATTGAATTCGATTACATAAGTAATTAAATAAGTAATAATTAAAAAAATATATAAAAAATAAGTAATAATTAAAAGTGAAAAAGGAACATTATTAAATGGAGGTAATCTGAATTCTTCAGGGCGCGCTAGACCAAACTCAGCTGTTTTATCCAATGCAGGACATTCATCAGCAACGGTCTGATGATATATAAAACCATTTTCCCGCTCCGCTTGCTCGAGATATCGTATTAAAAGTGGTTTTATACGTCGATAAAAAAGGTGGTTTTCTGGTTTTGCTTTCATTCCTAAATTGAATAGCTAAGAAAATCGCGAAAGTAAGAAATTTTGCTAAAAATCCTTTAAATAGATGACACAAATATCGAAAGCTCGAACCAGGTCCTGAAGATCCGGAATATTTTTGAACATATTCTTCAGCCAAATTGAAATTAGATACTCCTTCCTTGCAGGCTCGGATTGCTTTCCCACATTTACCATTTGACAAAAGGTCTTTTCCAAAGAATGCATAAGCATAAGATAAATAGATCTGTGCTTTTAACAACAAGTAAAATCTCCATTTGCTAAAAATTGACTGATCCTGCTCATGCAAATATTTGTCTGCAATAAATGCTGTAAATAAATAAATAAACGAATATTTTAATTTTCTTCAAGTAAATTACAGAAAACTTTGTTGATGCAAAATTTACAAATTCAAAAAAATAAAGAAAGTTCTTCTATATACGTGAAAGACATAAAAATTTTGTTTGTTTAGATATCATATCATTGGTTGGTTTTATCGATCTTATCCTATCGTAAAGTATCTACAGCTTAGCAAAAGTGAACCTGCTTCAATGAATAAAGCACTGGTATTATGAGTAAGGCTTGAGATCAATGACGAACTGTGTTTCAGCTCAATTGCACGGGCCACAGATATCTCTTGCGCTTCTGCTATACATTGAGTGATATACGCTGACAATACTGAAGAATCCAAATCGCAGCCTTTCAATAACTGCTTCCTTTCAATTTTATCTGCAATAAATTATTTCAAACTTAGTGAGAAAATGAACGGATTTTGAAAAACTAACCAATATTTGAACGCACAAAAATGAACATGCCAGCTGCACGACGTAAACAAGAATATATTCGTTTACTTTCAGTTTCTGATACTTCATCTCTGGCTGAAATTGAAGCAGCATGTTTCATTAACCACAAGGCCATGTTCACAAGCATATTCAAAACTTCGAACCAACTATTACTCACTTCACTGAAATAATCACATGCTTTATTTTACCAAATCGATCGATAAATAAAAAATGCACCATTCAAAAATAAATAAACCAGTGAGAACCAACCAAAATCTGAAATTCAATACTGTCAATTAAACAGTACGAGATTTTCAAATTAAAACAAAAAAAAAGACATGATTGAACTTCTCAAAGCTGATTCAAACAATATTCTCAGTTCGAGAAAAGATATCTGAAAATTGTTCTAGCTTAGACAAACTTGATGAATCAAAATTTCCAAAGCTTATTTGTAAAAGCAATTCGAGAATGTAGAATTTTATTCGCACTATTTTTTAGTTGATACCCCATGATGTTGACTAAGCATTTTACATTTTACTTTAAAAAAATACTGGATGATGCCATATAAAATATTTAGCAGTTCTACGATCGTTTCTAAAATAATCGTAATTTCTCAACATTATTAAAGAGTTATTTAAACTAAGAAAGAATGGTGAATGAATTAAATAGGAATAATTCATAAAATAATGAATAAGAGAAAAAACACCTTTAGCAACTTCTGTAGAGATAAAAAAAGTTTGGTGCTTTCTTAAACTACACTGTATTTTCACAGTATATTTGGTTTTATTTATTGTCGCTTTCAGTGTTAAATAAATGAAAATGATTGATAATTCATGAATAATCAAAAGTTCAACAAGAAGAAAAAAGTCCTAAATGTCTACTGATAAGCTCACTAACTTCTTAAAAAATTCATTCACCTGGCTCGGACCAAATTTTTTGGTAGAAGATTTAAAGACAATTATAATGCATTCACCGATAATCAAATCATTATAAATACTATAAAACAAAAACCATAAAATACTAACCAAACAGTCTCCCCCAACATGGAATTCGCCCATGTGAACCTAATCAGGGGCAGAAGTTTACTCGCAGCTAACTTTTTCTCGGTGTTTCGAGGTACTTCATAAATGAATCCCATAAAAAGAGAAAGATACTGATTGAATTCATTCGTTACGATCTCTAAGTCATTATGTGCACTTGTGAACAGTTCCAAAAGATTTTTACGACGAACTCGCAAATCGCTGAAATTGAATTTAATAAATTAAAGTCATCATTCAATCCTCTGCACAAATAATCAAGAAATCGATATTAATAATGCATTAAAGCCAACAGAAATTAAAGGAAAAGACTGGACAACTTCTGAGTCAACAAAAGAAGAAATTCGCTTTTCCATCTCTGAAATTCTTTCAAAAAGTGGTAATTAAAGGATCAAAATCAAGGAAATTTATTCTGTGGAGTAAAAAAATGAAAATACTTGCAAATCTGAATACACTGTTCAGTAGTCGCAACTGATTTCAAATCAAATGTGACTTTATCGGTTGCTTTGATGGGATTCCTGTGAAACCAATGAGCCATTTCCAAAAATATCTATTCGCAAGATTTTAGAATTTATTTTTACTCTAAAATACCATCATATATACTGAATCACTTTAATGTCTGAAAAAAATCCCGAAAGTTAACCCTCCAAATCTTTCAAAAAGAAAAGCTTCAAATATTTTCACGATCGCATCAACACATCAAAACAATATCAAAACATACTTCAATCCCTGACCATATGTGCTTTAAAACTGATAATCTGTCTATGCACGAACATGACGATCTACTGATGCAAAATGATCTCCTCTCTAACTCCTTGAACCTCAATCAAAATATATCATTCGCCACATAGCAAACATTTTATCACCAAATTAAATTTAAAATTTAAAAAATCCACGACTTTTAATATTTCAAACTTCACAAAAAGTTACGTAGCGAGTTTTTCGAGAAAAATAAACGTATAGGTAATAATAGTACAGAAAAAGAATTAAGAATTAAGATGAAATTAGGAAATGTCATCAGTAAATAATCTACTTAGAGGCTGCAAGTACCATCAACCTACAAATTTCCCCACAATCTATCTATCAACTTATCACGAACACAGTCAACAAGAAACTATCGTAAAATCCGACCGCATATGTTCTAATTTTCAGATGAATTTGCAGATTTGTGATAATTCGGTTCAACCGACCATAATCAGTGCGGAAAAATGTATAAAAATGAAGTAATTGCTGGGCGATGTGCAATATAAAAGAAGTTATATTATAGAATTATAGAAATTGTAAAAACAGTTATTACAACAAATTTTTCTGGTGTTGGGAAGAAAAATATTCGCAGATTGCGTGGGCATTAAAGTCGCCAGAAAATAGGATGGAAAGAGAATGGTCGGGTGGTGTGGTGCTTCGGCCAGGATGGAGCATCGCTGGTTCGCCTCTTGATCCAGCGGAAAAGTTATCGTTCAAAATAAAATCTGGGTGGTGCTCCATACATCTATATTTGTAGTGAATGAAGGCCTTATAATTTGACCATAATTGTGCTCCGAGCTGGTTGATTCCATACGCTCGTTATTATTGTTTTGTTTGCATATCTCCGTATATTGCCAACAATGACCATCAGCGGTTCCTTTTTTTGAAATTTCCTTAAAAAGCCTGAAACTTTTCAAAATTTCGTTGCGGAATACTAAGGCAATGCACCCAAGCACAATAAAATTATAAAATTACTATAGAATTTATTTTCCAGAGCGATTTGAATGTTTATTTATTACTGGAATTTCGTTTTTTTTATTTCCGATATTCACTGGTAACATGAATAAAACTTATCTTTAAAAATTTTAGTCGATGAAGCCAGAATCGAAGAGATATAAATAATAACTGGTTGGATAACTCTGCTTGGTTATATATTTACGTAAAATTGGAGATTTTGAAGTGGTCAGTTATAGCCAATTTTTAGAAGATTTCACGATATTATTGCTTCTCTGAGTATATTTTTTTCGTGATGAACGATGACTGTGTCCAGTTTTCAATCGCCCTTCTATATTTGCAAATGAAATCTAAATCTATACGAAATAATATACTGCAAACAAAACGTCTATGGACAATGTACAGAAAAAGGATTTATAGCACTATGAATTTTCGTTGGGAGCACGGCGATTCCCCTTCCAATATTTTACCTTTAAAAAAATTCCTTTTGGGAATCCGCTCCACTGTCTTTTTTCTATATAGATTTAGTAACTTTCCTGCCACGCGGGACTTTTATTTCTTAATAATATTATAAAATTCTGCGGCCAGCGTCTACTTCTTATTTTTCACGTTGCGAACCTCACTTTATTACTAAAGACGCAAATATATACAAGAAAATAAAGCAAAGTAATTGCCTTACTACAAAGAAATAATACAGTAAAAAAATCAAATATAAAATCTAAATGCCCATCACTCAGCGACCGCTCCTCCACTCGTTTTCCCCTAATAGAAGCACAAAATGACCAAAATTGATCTTTTGGGAGCTTATATTTAATTTAAGATGGGCGGGAATCCGGATGACCTGCTCAAATTTACAGCTTTTTTCGCCATTCAGCGACAGACAATCATATTAAAAAAGACAATATGAAGGAATAAGCAGTTATTACTATAGCTTTTGAAGCTCTTCATTTTATCTTGGAACTTCACAATTTACATTTTAAAATGCCCTCATTCAATAATAACTGGCTACTTCCTCCTTATAACTGCCAATCATTTAATATCATTCTGCGGTTCAGTCAAGCGAAAATAATAACCAGCAAGAATGAATTCTGTGAAAGGCTAGTGGCTGTTCAGTTCAGTTTCCCGCTTTCTGTTTTTATTTTTGCTATAAATCTGTGTGAAGCGACATATTTTACCACGAGAAATTAAATCCGTTGGTTATAAAAAAATAAAATAATTTTCAAGCAATGATTTCATATGCCATTCAATTCTTTGAACCGCACCAATTCATAGTGCACTATTCACCAAAGTGGTCATATTCGTTAAAAGAAGTCTAAAGTCTAAACGCTAAAAATTTCACTACATTTTTTTATTTTCTATTATATTGTACATTTCCAAACTTGAATCTGTTTAATTGGTGTTAAATTAATGCATATTATATATTACTCATTTCCTTTCCAATCACATTGCTCATGAACTTCACTTTTTTCAAATTTTTTCGTTGCCTTTATAGATGTTTTTTTGGATGAGAAATGCATTTTCACTATTCATATTCATAGTTAACTGAGCAATTTTTCACTGACAAATATTTATAATATTATAAAATTTAAATATACATTATATTACTTATAAGTTTAACATAAAGAAGTCAAACATAAAAATTGTTTGAAAATGCTCAGTCATTTATAGGTTATTTGCAGCACTAATAGCTTTTGTGTAGATTTCTAAAAATTGCCAAGTATTTCCTTCATCATTCCATTGGTGTTTGTTTTTTCTAGAAATGCTCGTACATGCTACCTGTGCTTCTGCTGCTATTCTTCTTCTTGGGAGTAGAACCTGTCAAAAATCTTGTTGGAACCCATCTACACTTCTGTATCCAAGTGGCTCACTGATCCATTGTGTTAATTGCCAGAAATAATCTAACAAGAAGTGGAAAATTATAAAATGTACAGAAAATTAGCGTCATCTATGTGGAAAATCATTTGATCTTGTTATGTACCAATTTTCCGGGCCAATTTTTAATTATAGAAATTTTTATTAATATTGTAATTTTCAGTGCAATTTTTGGATGTTATGTGTCTAAATAGCTCTATTCAATTATCTTTTATTACCTACACTTTTTTTAGCTAAATTTGAATATTCATACAGCGTAAGAGAATTTATTCATTCGAACTAATATGAATTAGTGATAAAGTCCTACCAATAATTTAGTACATTTAGTTTATTAAGTTTTATTACCAAATAAATTTTTACCTTTTCTATTCAATTGTTGCTTCTAGATCCCATAGTATCAGAGCAGAATTCTGCAGAACTGGTAATGATAATAGGAAAAGAAGATTAGAGGTTAGCGCTCACCATTTCAGGCTAGTTTCCACTTGCTATTAGTGCGATAAGAAATTTTTGGCAGAAAGTCACTTGGTGATATAACTACAGGCGTTCACCAAAACTATTCGGATTTTTTAATGATCAGTTTGGATCAGGACCTGAATTCTTACTTTTCGGCAACCTTGAGCCACTCATGATGCTAGAAAATATGAAGACTTCTTATTCTTTTTTTATAATAGAATAATTCGGAAATGGTTATTTTATTTGGTAAATTCTATTATCCGCTTATCTAATATATTTCTAATTATTTATAATTTTCACGTTACATTTTTGGCGTTAATTGGAAAAGTTTCGTTAAAATGTTATTTTTTAAACGCAAACCCCTTTCATAAGTTATATGAAGCAATTATTGCGAATTTAAAATGGATTACGCAATTTTTTTATTCTCATTTAAAATTCATGAAATTCAAAGCTATACTACGGTCACAACTCATTTATACTGGAAGGAAATGTGTTATAAATCGAACTATTGCTTTAATTATCGTAAAATTTTTGATAAATAATAAACGTGCATAATGATAAAAGCATTTCAAAATCTGTAAGATATTTCCACGATTATCGAATTATTTTGGCTAAATAACTATGGTTAACCATCACCATACTTTCTTTAGTTCATCGATCACATGTGGTACTTAACAAATAAATAAATAATTGTAGCTTTATATAAAATCTGGTTGCTTTAAATTTGCAAGAGGATTAGATAAAAATTTTGTTTTGATCGTGATTTAATCATATTAATATCAAATTCGAAGTTTCTAGAGCAGAAAAGGTGAATTAACAATATCTTAATAAAAGGAAAGTCAATGTAGGTGAGGATAGAGTAGTCCGACAGCAATAGGCTTACGCTTACGCTTCAGGTAAAAGCAAATATGCCTTTTGCCGAATCTGGGTTCAGGAGAAATTTTTGTTTTTCTGAAATGGTATTTAATCCATTATATTAATTCTAAATTATTTGTTATATTAAATCGTGATTGGCTTATTTATTCATTAAAATTTGTCTTTTATAAATGCTTTTACATCCAGATTATCTTGATTGAATTATCGTTATCTTTTCCACAACCAAGTACTCCTCTTTTAAAGGTCATTTGCTATTTCTTTTCTATCGCTTTTTTTGTTTTTTCTCGGGTTTTGAGGCTAATTTTATTTTCCATTTCAATGGCTTCTATTTGAATACCTTTTCATTCATGTAAGGATACGTTTTTCTGGTGGATTTTCAAAATTTTCACTGTTTCGCAGTTCATTTTAAATTTTTTAGAAAAAATAATGTTTGCTGGTTAGACTCGCTCTGCTTGTCTTACAAGAGAAATATGCCAAGGAACCTTTTGACGATAGAAGTACAGGTGAGTTTTCAGCATCACCCGGATTTTTTGAAGGACAGGTTTGCTCCTGCCGAATGCAGAATCTCAGTGTCGACGTTTCGAACTGAGCCACTGAACCACTCTATTTCTCTTGCTTTTCTCCATTAGACGACAGTAC